TTATCGGCAGGTTGGTGTTGCGTCTGTGTGCGTGTATGTATGTGTGAGACACACTCTGAGATTCCTTCTTCTGCGGGATACTGATCGGTTACGTGAGTACAAAGCGATTGAGAAGCCGACATTGCTGAGATCCGATCGAGATCGACACGAGAACAAACGTAGATATGCCGTAGATCGATCCACAATGTTTTTCTTTCATTCTTCGTTATTCTTCGCCGCATTCTCTCCGTGTCCTAAATACTACTATATATCATATTTTTAAATATCCCGTTGCGCAATCATGTAAATTTTCACGATCGCGTAGATCGCATATAGATAACGAAAGTAATTCTTCGCGGTTTTCTAGACAAAGGAAGGAGGATCCTCTTATCGTGATTATATTTTCGATCATTTCCCTCACACTTGATACATTCACATGCCGCGAACGGCACTCGATATGCACGAAGAATCGAGATCACACGGGACGCATCAGCCTGCCGACGCGTCGAACATTCCGGCAGGAATCCGTTGTAAAGGCGAAGCCGCGTTTTGCTTGCCAAAGAATAAAGACTCTTGCGCTCTACGCATAATATAATATATACACAAAAATATATAAATGTACGTGTATGTGTGTGAGTGTGCCTAAAGATTTTTTCCTCGGACTAATCTCTTACACTTTCTATGTCACTGTCTCTTTCTCTTTCTCTCTTTATCCTGCGATCTCTCGTCAATCACACGTTCCAGTCATAAGCGATTTCGAAGGATTATTATTGTAGCCTGACAACGATTTTCGAATAACGCAACCACGACCCGCACGACGCCTCGTATCCGTCGTCACTGGCGTGACCGGATTGATTACAAGAGGGAGAAAGAGGAGAAAAAGAAATTATGCTCGTTACAATTCCTCCCGTTGCTTACAATGTTAATATCTTCCGTCGTTCCGACAAGAAGCTTCGTCCGTGATAAGAACACAATGCAGAATGTATAACAATGTATAGGGTAAAAACACAGCGAAATTGCAGAATTGTCAGATTTCGCGCCGATACCAGGAATTGATGAATTCACTCATTGATTCGCGTGAAAATGCGTCCACTTGTTTCTTTCGCAAAACTGATCGGTACGAGGCGTCGCAAAACCTATCGTTAATTTGGATAGAAGCGAAGAGGGGAGCTTGAACCGTTCATCTCAGCCCTCACCCGACAAGGCAACGATCCCGCGAAAGCTTCACCTGTTAATTGTCAATTAATAACCCAGGAATGTATCGACTTAAAAAGGTGTTGTTTCTTCGCACGTAGTCGCACACGAAGAAGAAAGAGTTTCGATAGAGAATGTTAGAAACGATCGTTATTGAACGCAGAAACGACCTAAGGCGAACTGTCGCTCCATTGACATTTCGAGAGAGAGAGAGAGAGAGAGAGAGAGAGAGAGAGAAAGAGAGAGATGTTATAGATGATATGTAGATGGAAAAAAAATGGAAGAAACAACCGCACGTCCGTCGATTTTAAAGAAAGAGTTCGCGTGAAGCTGCCTTGTCGGTCGCCGGCTGGCCGTATTGTTTAACGATTGTCTCTCTGTGTTCCGACATATAGTAGATATTCCGTCTCGATCGTTCCTCTTTATAAAAACGAAAAAAAAAAACGTCTCACGCAGCCGCGACGCAGCGCACGCATCCGCGAGTATTCTCCTTCCCGGCGAGAGAGGACGAGACCGCGAGCGATCTCACCGAGTCTTCTGCCAAGTATACGAAAGTAAATGCGCGCGTATTCCAATTCTCCCCGCGATCCTCGAGGGACAAGGAGACAAGGGAAAAAAGATGGAGAGGAAAAATCGGAGCTGGCGGATGATACGCAACCCCCCACGCCCCCCCGCCGCCACGCGACCCACGATGCTCGAACTCGCGCTTGAATATTTTTTTACGATTTTATGGCCTAAGCATTTCGGCGCCGCCGAAAAACGTAGGTACCTTACGGGTCTGCGCGATCGATCGACCGATCGATAAATTATAATCTTACTACGACGTTAAGGGGAATTATAATAGAAGTGAGTCGCTCGCGGGAACGCTAATTCCTCGCGCGGCGCGAACGGCGGACGCCGATGATCTCGTCTCGTCGCGGAGCCGCTTGATCAACTTGTGCGTATATACATTTGCAAGAATGCGGCCCGACATACGTTTCTTCGTCCGTCCTCGTCCGACGAGTTAATCCTCCACTGCGCCGTGTAACTTCCTGGAGTCTCACAGCCGCAAGAAAAAAAGTGCTAGATTCAAGTAAATGATTTTACTCCGATATTTTTGAGCAGATTTTTACGTAGACCGAGTAATATTCACCCGGATCCGAGTAAAATTTACTTTATCCGAGTAAAAACTTGTTCCCTTCAAACAAAGCGCGTTTGGCTCGTCCATTTCGGATAAATTCAACCAAACTGTCTTTCCCGTGCAAATTTAATCTGATATCTCTGTTCTATTTTTTAGGAGCGCAAAAAGAAACGGGTTGTGGGGAGTTAACAGGCGGAGCAGACGAGCTTACGTAAAACTTGTACAATAATTTCTAAAACGCATCTCTCTCACTTTCCATCTTTTATTGTCCCTTCCGCTTCTTCTCTTGTCCTTTTTAGTTTCGACGTAATAGAAAGGCCGCGTGAAAATAAACCGAGACGCAAGTCGTCCGTTACGGGAATTTAATATGAATCTTCGTCTGAAAAATCGGCGACCTTGCCGTTCTATTAATTACCGCGCTAGCTGTTGACTCCGCGATGCTATGTCGACGCGTTATTGAGCCTCCGCTGCGGGATCATCGACGATCGAACGTTCCGCCGCGCGTTCATGTATACGGCTACCAACACGCGCGTGCGTGCGTGCGTGCGGTACCTGCTTATACGTAACGATCAATCTTAAGGAACTAACTAACGAAATAAATAATTAAACTTGTCGTCACCATTGTGATTTAAGATAGTAGAGATACCCGTGCAAGTCGCTCGATAGTGCAGGTGCAACTGGCGCGCTTTCTCTCCAGTGAAGAAAAAGTATCATTTTTCGAAATTTTTTGTATGTCCAAAGAAATCTCAATATGGTGAATTAGAATTGGCCGACGAGACGTCGTGAAAAAATGATAAATAATGCCAATAATATCCAGGCAATTACGCGAGGCACCAATGAGATGCCACACGAAAACTCTAGAAAAATTGTCCCATTCTTGTTATCAGTAGAGACATTACTTAATTTAGAAACACAATTAGACTAGCCGGCACGAGGAAGTCGCGCGACCTTCCGCACAGTTTTCCCAGTTTTCACACCGTTGCATCTGCATGGAGGACCCTCGAAACGGGGAAAACGTTTACCTGTTTGTATAGCCAAAGTCATTATTTGGCTGTGGCACGATAAAAGTCTTAATAAAGGTTTCATTAAAATATCCTTCGTAGGACAACGTATTTATTTGCGAGCACCGGACACGTACGTGCTTCATTAAGATGATCCAGCCCTTTAAGATCCACGTTTAAGACATACGTTTTTTTTATTTGGAAACTTTTTGTAAATGCTATTATATTTTCCTTTCAAAAATAATCTGAGTTGTTTGGAAATACTTATTAAAGAAGAATCATAGAAAATATATTTTTCCTATACGGGTCTTAGAAACCCACCATTACACGATTGTGATAATTGGGCACATAGTGAGTCATATACAGGGTGTTATATGATATACTGTACAAACTTAAGTAGTTGATGTGTTCTGATGTAAATTAAAATAGAAAATGTCCTCCATATGTAAACATAAGTTCAATTCGAAACGGTTATCCATCTATAAGTATTTGAAATGTATAAATAATAGTACAATTTCTTAGAACACTTTTTTTTATTAAAAATGGAAAATAAAGAATAGAAACATAAAGATTAAAAATTTAATATACGAAGGAAAAGTTGCCGAAGGTCATCAATTTGATCAATTTCCGGAATCTTTATGTTTTCTTCCTTATTTTCCATTTTAGTAAAAAAATGTTCCAAAAAAATTGTGCTATCATTTATAAACCTTAATACTCAAGCTGAATTAATACAGCGTATTGATAACGCCCGTGTACAAATAAGGAACAATCATGATGCTCTTCGTGGAGCTGCTCAATCTATTTATAGATCGCCGTATATTAATGCCGAAGGACATCAATTTCAGCAATCTTCACATTTTCTTCCATTACCACATTATCCTCCATTTTAGTAAAAAAAAATGTAAAAAAAATGTTCAAAAAAATGTTCCAAAAAATGGTGCTGTTATTTATAAACCTTAAGCACTGATAGATAAATAACCGTTTCGAAATCTGAAACTATATTTATTTATAATATAATGTTTATATAACATTGATAAGATATTTTCTACTTTAATTTACATCCGGAAGCATGCTGCTTAATTTTACTTAATTTAACTTTTAAATTAGCGCCGCGTCCCTCATAGATTTGTATCCGACGTTTCGTGAAAAAATTCATTCGCTTCCTCGGGCCGAGGAATGACTGGGAAACTGAAGTTCCTCAAGTTTGCGCGGTATGTCATGTAACACCCAGTACGAACGCGATGGCTGACTATCACGTTTGCGATGGTCGAGGCTTAAAGGGTTAATTCCACTATCTGACGTCGCGGGCCGATCGACGCCGCCGCCGCGGTGTTGTTTATCGCCGAGCCAACGGCAACGCGCACACAGCCAGCCGCGTGCATTTGCGTCGGCGGCCGCTGCAATTGGTGGTGGCGTTGGCCTGCCGTCCCTCCTCTCCGTCGCTCCCTCCTCCTCTCTCGCACCAGCAGTAGCGAGGAGAGCGACGGCGAGTGTGGGCGAGCGAGCGACGTCAGTGCAAAGGCACGAGCCGTCGCGTCAGTCGCGTGACGACCGCGGACGGTGGCCCGTTTGCCTTTATCTTATCGCGTCGGCACTTTTGTCTTCGGTACGTCGCGACGTCGTGACGCGACGTACCTCCCCGTGCGGACGTTCCGCGTGAGCACCGGCTCGCAGAAACCCCGGGCTCTTCGTGACTCCGGAATCTTGCTCGCAGCATCTCAGAAACGTGCTCCGTGAGCGTGTAGCTCCTCGAAGAGAAAGGAGAATAGAGAGAGAGAGAGAGAGAGACTGCGCAGGCAAACAGTAAAATCTATGGTCGCTCCGGCGTGTTTGTTACGAGTGTGTGCGTACGTACGTGCGTTTAACTGTGTGTACGAGCGCGCTGGCCGATGTGTCAGCGCTCGCGTCTTTCTCCGCTTGTGCTGCGCGCTCGCATACGCGAAGTGTCTCTTTAACTTGTTAACGCTCACGGCCAGTACATACCGGGCTTTCGTTCCGGCGATTTTACCGACGTGGTGAACCTCTCTCTCTATTTTTACCTTCCTCTCCATCTCCGTTCTTCTCTCTTGCCCCGAACTCGCGCCGTTGTCGTCGTCTCGAATAACGGTGGACGGTTTGAATCCTGTGAAATTAAGCAGCCGAATCAATTGACCGAATCTCCCACCTCCCCTCCTCCTTTCTTTCTCTCACGTTTAGCTCAGAACGTCCCGACCGCTTCTTTCAACGGTCCCCGCGCACGTCCGCTATACCTTATCGCCGCATGATTCACTCGCGCAAATGTATAAAATATTACAGATAACACGTACAGCGTGTACGAGCGAGCGTGCGAATAATAATGACTCACGTGACAGTGAAAGAAGAAGCCGTGGCGGACCTACATCGTGGCAGACGGCGCACGTTGGCGAGTGATTGAGAAATAGAGCAGTTGACCCGCATAGAACGAGCCGCTCCGGAGGAGATCGCCTGCAACAACGAAAGCATGAGCGTGAGTCCGGCTCTGTGATCGGAATAAAAATACGTGATCGCGCCGACTCACCGGGAGGAAACGGGAGCAGTGGATCGAGAGAGGAAGAAGGGCCGCGCGGGAAGGGAGAGCCGTACCGTGACAGTGGCAACGACCAGGTGGGTCTCTGACCTGCGTCACTGACGGAGAACAGCGGATTCGTGTGGTCTCCAGACGACGTGATTTCCCCATTCCTAGAGCGCAATTGCCGATTAGACGAATTCCGAATCGGGTCTCTCGACGTCGAGAGGACGTGGCTCCGGAAATCGCACCTTTGCACGAGAGCAGTTCGGTCGAAATGGTTAACGCGTGGTCTTGATGAACATTCGATGGTAACTGAATAAGGGAAAATAGCAGTATTATTAACAGTAATAACGGTACTAGATTTTACGTCACATTTCACATGTCCAAACGGTCCTCACATATTTTTGCGTTAGATATAACAAAATTATGATATTCATGATACGTTAAATGACACTGAAATATAAAATGTGTTATTTTAACATCTACGCGAGTTGAATATCGACTCAACGACGAGACAAAATATCAAGATAACATAAACATAATATATAAATTCAATATACGGGCGTGTTAAAAAATTAACGCAAAAACTTTAGTAAAGATCGATTTTAACACGAGTACAAAGTATTTTTTTACTATGTAACGATTACTCTCTTTCAAAATACAATTCGGCGGAACCACGTCTTGTCGACATTTCGAACGCTTTAACTGCGATATAACTAACGTATAATTCGTTTTTAAGCTTCTCGAGGAAATTACTTGAAATTCTGTTGCTTTAGGCAATGTTGAAACGTATCTTTTGACACAAAATTTGTGTTGTATAAGAATTGACTCTAGAATAGTTAGGTTACACCGCGAATAGTATCGGATTTAATAGTGACTTTGCGATATCTTTTGAAAAAAGTCTCGTCGTACGAGAGGCACGATAGCAGATTGCCGTGTACAGATGTTTTCTGATATAACAACAATTAGTGGCAGTGCGTGTGGAACATCTCCTACTTGTTTGCGGGCCGTATTGTGAAACCCGCATTATGTGGTATTAATTATAACGTCGCCACACTTTCTAGGATTATGTAATGAACACTATATTTTAAAAGAGTTCGACTCGTGTGACTCGGATGCATCTTGTTTTACGTAACGAAATAGTTTTCCGTTGGATAGCAAAATAACGTATCAGACGAGAGAGAAATTGAAATTTCGTATGACGTCTCCAAACGATCGATTATATTTGGATCGCGCTGGATGTTTTAAATTTTGTATTTCGAGAAGCATTAAATCGCTGTCAAAGCTTCCGTTTGTTCCTCCACAATTTACCATCCGTGGGCTTCTCGACGCCGCACTTTCTCATTTCACCGGAGTAGCTCCGACATTCGTGAACTTTTCTCTTTATCTTGGGAATGTCACAACGTTTCCAGAAGATAACATTTCGTTTATCGTTGCTCACTGCAAATCGATCGTTCCTCTTGAGGCTCCAGCAGGCCGAGCAGGTCTGTTTGTAGTTAACCGATAATATTGTCAATAGTGATTCATGTTTTTTGTCGGAGCACGCGCGTTACAGCCATGTTGTTTTCTCGCTCTGCGATAAGGAATCTCTCCAGCTATACGCTTCTTAGAATCTCTCTTCTCTCTTTCTCCCTTGAAAAAGGAAAAATTTACGATATTAATCACAATAAGAATAAAATAAATAACACTCCATCTCTCTTTGTTTCTCTTTTTTTTCCTCTGTTTTGTGCTACTTGCTAATGTTGTATTGACTACTGTAAACCTAAGGTGTTTTACACCTCAGATTTATAATAAACTCTATTCTCTCTTTCTCCCTCCTCGATATTTAACGGGATCCTGGAGCCGTTTTATTTTACCGCAAATTTATTAGTACTCGTTATTGGCTGCGCAGAATTAAAAATCCTTAACAAATCATCAAACTTCGTTCGTCTCTCGAATAAAGTCAACCATCTTCGCCTGCATTGACGTATATATTGCAATTGTGCAAATAGATATACATTTAATTCTGCGTAGCCAGTAACGAGTATAGCGCTAACAAATCTGCGGTGAGAGAGGACGGCCCCAGAATCCCCTTAACGAAAGAGTCGCTGCTTGTGGCGGGTTCGTTGATTTTTGCATGGCATCACTTACACACGCTTTCACTTAGAACGCGAAAGACGAGCGGCCGAGAAGGACGGAGCGAGCGACGTTAGACGCAGCGCGGAATTAAAGTGCAGATACGGGACGATAGACGTGACACGCTCGCCGGTCAGTTGAAATAGAAGCCGGAAACTATGGGCGTCGGTATCGGCTTTCGGACCGATGACTCACGGTCCGCGACGCGGTCCTAAGCCGACAATTCATAATTTCCTTTCCGTTTGCGCCGCTCGTTGTTCGTCACGCATCCAGCGGGGAAGTAGCAATTTGATTAATCCTGCGAGCAAACAAGCTCGGTAAATAACGGCGCACGGAAAACGCAGTTGTCTCGGTTAGCAACGGCGGCTTGAGGGAAAAACGCTTCGCTCTCGCGCACACATGCGTGCGCTCTGTCATCTTCCCGGTAACCGAGAGATGCAACGGAAGAGAGAACAACGTTCGATGGTCTGACCTTGGAAATCTCCCGGTCGGGAAGTCTTTCGGCGCACTCGTCGAAAGGGTCGGGGGAACTCTCCCGCGTTTCAGGATCGATGGCTTGACACGAAGAAGAAGAGAAAAGTATAAGACAGAATCTCTCTTCTCAGGGGGGAAGACGCGAGGTCGAGGAAGACCTCCTCCCCGCAGCCACGATGGCGACGAAGCCGGTGCCGAAGCCACGCTCGCTGCTGGCCGACAACAGGCCGATACCGGCGCCCCGAAGAATCCCGCCGATCTTGCCACCCGCTCGATCGAGCAGTCCCACCAGCGAGTCCAGCCAGTCGGAGAAGAGCGACGACGTGAGGTCGACCGGCACGAACGAGAGCCAGCGTGGCTCCAACCACGAGTTCTTCCGCAGCCTCAGCACGAGCTCGCGCCAATTGAAGGACGAGATCTCGGAGAAGATGACGGTGAAGGGTCGCGCCATGATCTCCAGCACGAGGAACGCCAGTATCCGGCTGGAGAGGTCGGTGAAGAATCTGCTGACTCGGAGGCTGTCGTCCCTCAACCAGGACGACGTCGGCCAGACCGGCGGGAAGAAGCTCAAGGACCCGGTCGACGAGGACAGATGCGTGTCTATGCCGGCCGACGACATCTTCAGCAGCATCTCCTTCTACAGCCCGCTCAGCGGCAACCTGAGGAGCGTGAGGAACGAGGAGGACCTCTCCGGCACCAGGCACAGTCCGCCGCCCCCGGTTTATCCGCCACCTCCGCTTCCGGACGAGTCTATCTACGACGAGCTGCAGTCCGTCATATCGGGCAGCAGCGGCCGATATGATACTCTCAGCTCGACGGTGTCCGACAAAGTCGAGCGAGACTTTCCTGAATCGTTCAACCGCCTCGGCTTACCGCGAAACCAGGTAAAACCATCCGGCTCGGATTGCTTTCTCTTCGCGCGCATTCCCGCGGATATATCGCAGTTGTTATTGCTGACGCGAACGTTATTCTCGATACCGTCGAGCGGAAGTGGCTTTATCTCGCACTCTCCCCGCGACGTTCCGCTGCAAATATCAAATCCTGCGTTTAATACACTCTTTGATAGTTCATTTATCTGTAACTTTTTTTATATTCAGCCATATGCGCATTTGAGATTTCGTTAATGAGCTGGAACGCATACAGAAAGAAGCTTAATTCAAGACTCATGTTCTCATATTCAAGGTGTCCTGGATCAACACGGACAAAGCTCGTGAGAACGGATTGAGGGCGAAAAAGTCTAATATCGTTTTGCGATATTCGCAAGAGTTAACGAGGAATCGATTAATCTGTATGAGCTAATGAGCGCACGAGAAGCGATAGGCCGGTATGAAGAAAAATGGCTTACTTCGGAAAATCTCCTAGTTGGGTATCAGCGAGATACGTGTTTCTTCTCGGCGCGCAGTTCTGTGTCACATGCCATTTGCTACGTTACTCCTCTAGAAATATCGCAAAACAATATTGGACTCTTTCCTTCATCTCCATCCGTTCTATTCTCTCATAAGTTTTATCCTTGTTGATCTCGGACACCCCGTATAAGAGCGGAAATATATGATCTGTTATATGAAGATGAAATTTGCTCTTACATGAAGAAATTTTACATGGTTCTACTGAAAATACATTCATGTTATTCAAGGATAATTATCTTGAATTGAGAGAAAAAAATATTGGATATACCTCCAAATTAAGTATTGCATTTTTCAATTTGAAGATATCGTTCTTTCTAACCGATACTTTTCCCTCTCAGCTCGCGAAAATTATACTTGAATGACAAGAGTACGATGAGTCTTGAGTTGGTACTAATTCTTTTTTCGTGCACGCACGGAGAGAAAAGTTCGGTTGAATGAATGTGACGACGAACGAACCGAACGCGTCGAAGGAAACAGAACTTCCGGTTCTTACAGTCGAATTTAGTTCACAGGAATCAATTTCTTTCGATCGGAATGCGTTCGCTTTGCTCGCCGTCGCGCTAATTCCAGCCGACGTCTGCTCTCCGTGCAGCAAGCACGACGCTTGTCGATGTGAATAGCCCTCTTGCTGAGTGCAAAAATTATTTTACTCGCGCTTCTCTCCCGACATTCGTTGTTACTTTTTTATCTTACCCGCATCCTTCCTCCTCGATCAGGACAGCGATTCCGACCAAAGCTTAAACTTGTCCGACGTCAACGTTAGTCTGTCGCAAGACAAGTCCGAGACCTCCAGGAGGCTGTCGCGATCGGACTCTTGGACCTTCTACGATACCACACCGAGTGCGAAACCCGAGACCATCGACGAGGACGATAAGGCGTCCAGTGTAGAGGAGGAGGAGGAGAGCCTGGAGAAGTCCTGTGATAAAGGACTGCCGATAATAGACCGGACCTCTTACGCGTCCAATGAGAGCCACGCTTCCGTCCAGAATTCCCTCTACGAGAACCTGCTGCCGCCGAAGGTCGACGGCTGGCAGTCATCCGTGACGAGTCCCCCGGACACCAGGCAGCAGAACAGCAAGTCCCTGCTCTTCGAGTTCGACCCGTTCGCGAGGACCTCCGACGAGAATGTCTACAGCAACTACGAAAACAACGACCTGATGCTGTTGGAGGCACTGTTGGCTACCAACGATCCGCTCAGCAGAACGAGCAGCACCGTCGAGCTTCACGAGGACGTCGACGCCGAGGAGGAGCACGAGGACGACGAGTTGACGCATCCCGGCATCAGCTTGATCCCTCCGGAGCCGCCCAAGAGGTTCGATTCTCTTCCCAAAAACGAGTACGACGAGGTGGAAGGCGTGGAGCAACCCGACAGGGTCGTCTCCAGCAAGAACCCGCCGCTCTTGCCGAAGTTGGCCCATCTGGTGACGAAGAAGCAGCCCGCGGTGCCTCCCAGAAAGCCTTCCTTGAAGAATCCCGCGGATAATCCGTCCTGTACGTCCCTCAAGCCGGCTATGAGTGCGACGACGACAACGACAACGACGACAACGACAATATCTGCCAACAACGTCGAAGGAAACGTCACCGGATCTTCGTCCGTCAGAGCCGCCGAGGATCATCGTAAGGTCAGCGTGATACAGAAACTCAGGAAACTGCGCCAGGAGTCCACAGTGACCGCCATCAAGCCCAATGTGATCAGTTTCGTGAAGACCGGCAGTAAATTTCTATCTAGGACTCGTGAACACATCAGCGAGTCGTCCGCTCCGAGGTCGCCACGAATGGAGAGGCCAAAGGTCAATGCTCCGCACAATCAGGTCACACACCGGGGAATGGTGTATAGGTAAGAACCTGCGCGAGAGAAAGAGATGTACATGCGAGCCTCCGACTTCGGGATTATAATCGTGAACTCACGCTCTTTTCTATAATCAGCTCTTTAAATAACCGAACAATAATAAATCGGAGCCCAAGCAGAACAGAAAATCACGGTAACGTCGAAATGAACGGGAAAATGATTACAATGAGAAAAAAGACCGAGAAAATGTCGGTTGCCTAAGATCATTTAAACAAAAAAACAACACTTTTACCTTCTCAGGTTTATCTTTGGATAACGTATAGTGAGTTTTTATAGTACGGTTTAAAAGTTTATAAGAAAAAAAACCAAAGCCATGAATAATTATACAATACACATATGCTTTTAGGACAGTTTTATTAAATGAAATAAATAGTATATTTTATTAAGTAAAAAATAAACATAAGTCTCTGAAAGATATATATGTCATTGTTCAGTTTTTCGTATCTATTAAAATTTTACACGTACATCAAGTGAGAAGGTAACGCAAAAGTTATACGAAATTAACATATATAAAAAAGGGGAACGATGACTGAAAAACAAAATAAAAAAGCATGATCTAGTTAAGGTCTAATCAATTTCCATCTCAAAGACGACCATATTTTATAAACAACGAAGTCACCGGTAGTTCAGATTATAGTGACTCACTTTAAACGATAATGAATTTTTTAGTGACTCAAAAAAAAAGTGACAAAAGTGATTAGATGATAGCGCTCATTGATAACTCATTATAGCAACTGTATAATTTGCTCAATGTCTAAACGTTGTCTTTGAAAACATTTTGTTTGTTTAGACCAAATTTCGTTGATTCTACTGCTTTCTTCTCTCAGTATTTTTCTTTTCTTTTTTTTCACAAAAACTCGCTTCTCGATCACAATTCGATCGTTTTCTCGGCATCATATCGATGCGATCGGTGATTTTCTGCTTTACCTGGGTAGGATCGCGTCAATCAGCGCACTAATTGTCAACATTACGCGTGCAGGCCTGGCGTGGGCATCGAAAGGGCCAAGGATCTCGTGCCGAGAGCGGCGGTGTTGACCGATCGGAAGTTATCGTTCTACACGGACAAGAGTATGTCTACGCTGAAGGAGGCCGTGGAACTGGAGACAGTGCACAGTATTCATTTGCTGCAGGACGTCAAGTGAGTCTGTTATTCCACTCCGAAACTCTATAAACACGGCGCACGCCGCGCATTATATTGTGCCGCCCCGGTGCTCTCGCACCGAGCCGACAGCGATTTCGTCGCGCGTCTCCTCTTTTCGACGTGGAATACAAATTCGTTTCCTGATGTTTTATTCAGTCCGCCGAAGCCGCCGGATAGGAGCGTAGAATGGTAGTGCGTCTACTTATTTCACCGGTTGTCCCAAATGTCCCATCTTCTACTCCCGCATGGAAACGAACTAATCGCCTCGGGTTCGTAGATAATTGTGTCCGAATAATAACGTGACTCATTCACTCGCTGGATAAATTTACATCTCAAAGTATCAATGACAAAACGGTCCCTCGCTGGCGTCTCTCTCTCTCTCTCTCTCTCTCTCTCTTCCCCCCCCCCCCTCTCCCTTCCCCTCTTTCTCTCTCTCTCTCTCTCTCTCTTTCTACGAGACTCAAGTCTCAAGGTCCTCTTTGTTGGGCGAGAAGAAAAGGATCTCACGGGAGAAGATCGCATCTCGAGCGTAACGACCTGACCTTGGTCGCGCGCTCGGAGTGATAAATTATTCCTCATATGACCGTCCGAAGTCCGCTAATGGATCCTTTTCCCCTTCGTTTTCTCCGGAGAAACGGGACATCCTGCGCGAACTTCTCGAAGTTCACGGATTCTCGTTAATGCGCGGCCCCGCCTCGCCCCCTGCCTATCGCGCCCGTTTAGCCCATATATTTAACGCTCCCGGTATCTTTACTCGTCCTTTTGACTCATCGCGCAGCTGGTAATCGGCTGGCACATATATGCGAGCCGCTTGCCGCCGGTCTGCTCGCACGATTACTTGATGAAGGTAATTTCGGAATGTGCAGAACCGTGGACAACGAGACGGTGCATTGCGTAGCGATTAGCGGCGAGTGCAGGCCGAGAGTGCACATTTTCTACGCGAAAGGCGCCGCCGAAAGGCGCATCTGGGCCCAGAGGATCCTCGAGGCCACCACACCGGTCTTCCCCACGAAGTACACCTCCGAACTCACCAGGGCGGGCTGGGCTTACCTGAAGGTACGCACGATAACACCGATTCGATCTGAATTCAAGTGGTTTCTGTGACACTAACGTCGAGTCAAAGGAACGTTGATGCGGAGGAGGTACAAATTAGTCAAATGACGTTGAGAACCTGAAATCTTGTATTTAATCGGCCTGAGTCAAAAGCCAGCTAGTACAGGCTAGATTAAATTATCCAGCTCGTTTTCCCAGCCAGTTTATTACTGGCTGATCTTGGGATTGTTCACTAAAATGTATACATTCAAACATTTAAAAATAAAGTGGCAAATGACAGTTGAGGATACGTTATTCCAGAAAAATCTGAGAAAGGCAGAAGCGTTACATTACTGCCTGGCAACTAGTTATGATTTTCATCTTGTAACTGTAACTGTACTTTTTAACACATTTCCCATGTTAAAGTAATAAAAAATTTCAGTGAACCGTTTTTAACATAAGATCTTCTTATTGCGTATCGACGTTAGATACAAATTTACTACTTCGCGGTTAAACACTCACGAAATGTTCGATTTCTTCTGGGGAAGGTGACGTGCGACGATTTGACGAATTTTGGCGTGAAATCGACCGTTCCTGCGTTCCTCTCGCGCCAGAACTCTGATTATTGATCTATTTTCTTCATATCGTCTTCATACGAATCCAATTGTATTGATCTAATAACTTTATGCAATGAATTTGCAAGCTTGCCTCGATCATCTTCTAAGGTACGTTAGAATTTTACATCGCTTGATACGACACACTAGCTTTGTTGAAGCATCTCTCTCGTTTGATCTTGCTCGAATCCGTTACGAACCGTTCGTGTTTGCGTAAGCGGAAACTCATACGCTGACATGCAAATTCCTCTGCTGCGACAATATCGCGGACGCGCTGGACATATATCTTTGTTCATTGCTACCGATATGGTAACTGCCGACCCGGCCTTTTCTCATTTCTGACGAAATTCAGAAGCGTGAAATACTATAAGCCGCCTCTTGTACTTGCCGTTTATTATATGCCCGCTACATTTTTCTAGGAAGGCGTAACAGGAACGTGGTTCCCAGCTTGGCTCTTGCTGCAACAAAGGATTCTGATTTACACGAAGTCCTTCGAGCCTGCGTTCGCCGTGAACTTCGAGCAAGTAGACCTGCGAAAAGCCCGTTGCATCGGTAAGCGCCATTACTAGAAGCGAGGCTTGAGAATTTATGACGTAGATAGTTAGAAAACGTAGATAGTTTGAGAGTTAGTCACGTAAAACTGGATGAGATAGAAACGATGTAATGTAATTTTCAGGACCCGTGAGAGGCCTATAAGAGATTGAAATTATATCACTTCGATCGTACATCTCTCCCAGAGCCTTTTAATCTTTCACATGAAACTTTACTATAAACGAGAAAAATTTTCCACGTCAACGTAAGATACAAATATGGGTGTTTCTTGGGCTTTTATCGATGCGTTCGTTGCCATACAGTACAGAAGACCAAGATAAATCTTAGAGGCATCTAAAAGAGAGATCTAAAACAAATAAGATATCTTTCAGACGTACCTAAGACATCTTTTTAGACGCTCGTGCTATCTGCATTCGTGAATGAATGCGGATTTCGTTTTAGCATAAGTCTTGATAATCGTTTCCGAGATTATCGTAGAGGAATTAATCACCGTTCCAGCTGAGAGAGAGAGAGAGAGAGAGAGAGACGCAAGACATGACCTAGTTACGCGACACACGAGTCCGATTGTCGTCTTATCAATGACTCAACGCCGGCGCGAGCCGTTCGATTAAAAGTTCACCGTCTCTCTCTTTGGTGGGGACGTGTGTCCCAATTTGCACGAATGCGCGTCGATGTGACGTATTCCGCGAGGGACGTTTTCGCCCCGGGGGAAAAGTCGGGGGAACCGCCGTTGCGGCTCAAACGGACAGCCGTTCCCGCACGTCCCGCGCGTTAATTACATTCGCAATTACACGCGATGCCATTACAACCGACCGATCGTGACCGTTTGATCGCAGTGTTGCGGGAGCAGGAAGGACCGATTAGCGGACTCGTTCCCGTGGTGGTCGTCGACGCGGGCGGCAGCGGCGCCTTGCACATCGCCACGCCGGCGGCGTACGAAGCACCAGCTTGGCGGCACGCGCTTTACCAGGCCGCTACAAACTGCGGGCCCGCCTTAGACCAGCAGCAGATCACGCAGGACAACGTGCCGGTCATCCTGGACAAATGCGTCAACTTCATCTACGCGCACGGTAATGAATGAGTCACCTCGGGACTTCGGAGGAAAATGATCTTCCGAGTAAGCAGGCGTGCGTTGCGACGCGCGACGCCGAACTCGAAGCGCTTCCGATTGTGCTGGCGTGCGAGCGACAGGCGTCGTACAATTGTAATTGTATGAAGTGTGTTTCACTAAGCTCCTTTATCTCGCAGGCATGATGTCAGAGGGTATTTATCGGCGCAGCGGATCGAGCAGTGCCGTAGTGAGACTGCTGGAGGCCTTCAGGAAGGACGCGTGGGCGACGCAGATCACGCGGAACTCGTACACGGAGCACGATGTCGCCACGGTTCTCAGGAGGTTCCTACGCGACCTACCTGACCCATTGTTCCCGGCTAATATCCACGACCGACTCTGCCTCGCCGCAGGTAGGAGGGAATTCACTTTCTCGTGGTGATAAAGCTAGATCGGATAGAACGATCCGATAAGCGTCTGGGTTGGAAAAGTACTTTTGATGAGTAACTCGTTACCGTTACTTATTTTGTAAAGTAACAACTCGTTATTGCAGCGCTACCAACCAGTCATTCAAATCACCTTTTGCCACTTTTTCCTGACAAATCACTAAGAAATTCACTGTTGTTCAAAATCTGTCATTACAGCTACTTCTTTTTTTCCTAAACTGCCGTTAAATTTGTAAGATATAGGCATATTATACAGTGTTCCAGATTAAGAGGAATAAACTTCGTGAGGGCGTCGAACGTATTGAGATGGACAAAGAAGTCTTGTATGATTTTACGAACAACCCGCAAAATTTCCAATTAATAATTCAAAAATATGCGTGTTATTTGCAAACTGGTGAAGGATTTTTTTGTTCAGAGTGACCTGATCTATAAATATGTGTAACAGCTGTTATACCTAGCGACAAACGTCAGTTTTTGAATCTTGAACTTGTCGCTAGATGCAACAGCTGTCATATATTTGCAGATTAATCTATTCTGAATAAAAAAGTTCTTTACCATTTTGCAAATGACATATATTTTCGAGTTATTAGTTAACGAAGCCTTTATACATGGCGTTTTCTATAATTCATAACTCGAAATTCTGTGTACTTGTCAAAATGAGTAGAGGACTTTTCTGCTCAGTTTAACTCGTTCCACCTTCACACAAACGATTGGCCGAAAAGTGCCGGACACCCTGTATATTTCACGTGTGCAAAGAGTAACAAGTATATTCGTTACTTTTACCCAAAAATGTAAATGCATTATCGTTACCGTTACTAATGAGAAAAATAACATCGTTACCAAATTAAATTATTACTGGAAAAAAAATAACATTACATTAACACTTTTCTTCCAAATCCCGACGAACGTTCATCTCCCCTATTTTTACAGAATCGACCAGCGAGGAGAATAGAGTGGCAACTTACCGGAAATTACTGTCCGTCCTGCACCCCGTGACGTCGGCGACATTGCGGCGAATCCTGGCGCACTTGCACGGCCTCAGCCAACAGAGCGCGAGGAACCTGATGACCGTGGAGAACCTGTCCGCGGTCTGGGGTCCCACGTTGATGCACGCGGGCGAGAACAGCGCCGAGGAGTGGAATCGTGCTGAGACTAAGGTCGTCGGTGACCTCATCAGGCTCTATCCGAAGCTCTACCAGCTGTCGTCGGCTGAATTGGCCAAGGAGGCGAAGATGTTGGAGGTTCTGGAGAAGCATCACGTGTCTAACAGCGGTCCACGGGCCGCGCCCTCGGGCGATCTGAAGATCTGGATATATATCTTGTCACGTAATGAAAAATGCGTGAACGTCACTGTAAGTCCTTCGTCTATTTAAATCCTCCAAGGGCCGGTTGTTTCACCTTTGGATAAATTTACCTGATGGATAAATATCTAAAGAACGTTCCCGGATAAACTACAAGAATATGAAACAATTACTGGTATATTATTGTTCTTCACATATTTATCCATTAGATAAATTTATCCGAAGGTGGAACAATCGGCCCTAACGATTTAAGGCTCCTGGTTCCTCGCTGCAGGCATCTTAATTAATGACGTCAAAGCAAGGAAACGTCCACGTCCAAAATTCTTGCAGAATATATTGAAAAATAAAAGGATATGTTCATAACATGATACATTAACAATTAATAAATAACCGTAAAGTTAACATTACAAAATTAACGTGAGAGAAGATAAACTATAAAGGAAGGTTGTATGTCGTGTTAATTTTACGGTTATTTATTCATTGATAGAACAAAAGGAGTTTTCAAAATATTTTACAAATTTGTTAAATTGACCACAAGTATCATTTTATGGACATGTCTTTTGATTTCAACTTATTTCGCAAGAATTTTGGGCATAGTTTCTGACGACATTCAGGATTGGTAAAGTTATTTTTGAAAAGTAACTTGTTACCGTTTCTCGTCACTTATTAAAAAAAAATCACCGTTACCGTTCCTTAAAAGTAACGAGTTGTTACAATTTCATCGAGCTTTGAGGGCCTTTTTTCAGGATTCGCTTCTGTGTATACAAAGTAACGATAAAAATAACGATTATATTCGTTATCGTTACCTACAAAATGTAAAGCATTACTGTTACTAACGAGAAAATGTACCAAATCGTTACTGAAAAAAGGTTACTATAACGGTAACGACGTTAACGTTACAGTTACTTTTTTTCAATAACAATTTGATAATGACGTTATATTAACGTTAAGTAACGCGTTACTTCCCAATCCTGGTGTCGTCAAATAAGATAATGAATTAATGAGGGACCAGGAGTGTTGAGCTTTTATTTCCCTTTTATCGGCGGATATCTGAACTTTGGCGGGAACAGATTGGCAATTCAAATTTAGCTGCGACAACTGCTCGCTTATTTACGCACTCGCAATATCTTGTACATTACTTTTGAAAAGCGGGAAGTTTCTTCAGAGACTCTCAACTGGACCAATTGATTCTGTACTCAGATCGGACCTCAAAAGACTGCCTTCGACGTGTGCCGAGAACTTGCCGAGAAAGCCAACCTGCCGGCTCACGAATTGTGTCTGGAGGAGTACACGCTGTCCGGCGCTCTGGAGCGGCCGTTGCATCACAACGAGCGCGTCCTGGAGACGGTGGCGAGGTGGGGATACTGGGATCCGGAAGACAGGAAAGACAACACTCTGGTGCTGAAGAAGGACCGGCTGTACAAGGACATCGTGCCTCTGGTGCGTGCTACGGTAGAAAGGAAAGAAACGCGTGAGAGACACACCGTGTACGTCGCGCAATAGCAATCGTACGCCGCAATGTTTTCCACATCGCACATGTTGCAGTTCCCACGATCTGAATCCATATCGACGTGGCGGCCTAGGTTCAAGATCATACTCGCGATATTCTCTCGCACGCTTTTGCGTGCACAGATCGAGTTGCGCGAGTCAGAAGCGGATAGAAAGAGTTCTGCGCGTCGCGAAAACCGGATACAGTTCAATTGAAGTTAATTGCACTTCTCTCCTTCTTCTCCCCCCTCCCTTCTTTTTGCCTCTCTGCCTTGTCTTCTTATCAATGCCTTCACCGTGTGTAGGTGAAGCCGCCTATGACGATCTCGGGGGAGCTCAAGTTCGCCGATACCAGGACGAAGAACCTGAAGACGTACCTCTTCGAGTTCAGCCAGGCGAAGTTGTGCTGCTACAAGGACAAGGTGTGCTCGGTGAAGCTGCACGAATGGAAGATCGAGGATATCGTTTGGTACTTGGGGCATGAACCGAAACGCAACCCGCAGATGGGGTAAATACAGCGCGTGGAACGAACTGATTATTGACGTATAGAATATCGTGTATATTTCTTGTAAAATAATTGACATACTTATCGCCGTATATCTTTTTTCTTCTTTCTCACACATACACACAGCTGGTCCATCACTTTCATAATGAAGAACAAGAAACCTACAAGGTAAGGATAACTATCTGTTATACTTCTGTATAATAATATCGATGGCATTGAACTACACGACAAACTGGAACGAGCGTGATGAAGGCCGTGTCTTGTAAGACAAGGGCCATGTATAAACGCAATATCGCTCTCTGTCTTATTAACATGCTATATAATCTATTATTCCTCTGCTCTTAAGTTTTTACAGTGTATGTTCCGCGAAACCGACAAACTTCGCCAACATATTTGGGAGATCGTTCTGATCAAAGATATTATATAAACATAAGTCAATTCTATACTCTGTTATCGAGATATGGATCAAGATGCTGATACGTTTAATGATCGTATTAGGAGATTACATTATCGTTCTAATTGAGGTGTGTTGCCGTTCATCCCTTCGGTGTTTATGTTTTGTAGTGATAAGAGTAAATATTGACCCAGCTTGTCCCCCTACAAGGCAACAATGTCATATCGCCTTCATTTCAACGCCGTTCATTTTTCAAGGATACAACATCGAGTGCTGTTCGGTAAAATGCCTGGAAATTTTCCATTCGAGAAACAGGATGGTATTTGTGTATGGCACATTCAAATAAATTAAGAAAAAATTAAGTAGCTTGACCGCTTCCGATTATTTGTGACTTATATCAATACACCTTCCATATCTCGATAACGGAGCTGAATTGACCCATTGTTTATACATTTGTTGTTCAGAATGATCTCCCAGATATGCTAACGAAGTTAGCCGGTCACAAAAACGGGGTTTCTATTTGGATACTGTCTCTCTCGGCACGATCTGACAAAACCAAAGGCAGTGTTCATTCCAGTTTGTTATATAGTTCAGTGGTCGATGGTGTAACAAAATTTTCCAAGTCCTTATAACTTCATGACACACTCCAACGCTTTCCGTTGTGATACTTTAAATATTCGCGCTTCGATGCTTTTGAAAAACACTTATTAGGATAGACAGTGTTCGAATTTCCTCATTTTCTTTCAGATGCAAGGATAGTCCATACTTCGGGAATACATTGGCGGGCACATCTAAGGACGAGCAGTACAGATGGTTAGCAGCCATGCTCTTCGGCGAATATCAATTAAATCTTCGTCCTTCCGCGGTGAACCTCATGGATCCATGACTGATGATTATTCTGCGATTACAGGTTATTTAGCGTTTCCAAAGCGATCAGGTGATAACTTTTTACCACGGGAGAATCATGACCGATTCCGAATGAATATACAAATATTGTACATACAGTATTCCAGCCGATATTTAATAGAACTGATTAATTTAACATTTTATAGTTCACACGAACGCTGTACTAGGGATTTGATCGCGCTGGAAAAGCGTTTGTTTGCGTTAGTGCTTAATCCGTTCGGTCGCATACCTGACAGTCTTGTTTATATAGTTTGTAATGCGTTAGTACTTGCGCATCGACGACGACGCGCTGCGAACATTGATCACTGTCATTGTTAAAGTAACGATCATGTAACACGCCATTTGTAGAGATAAGATTAACGAAATATTACGCTAAAAGAACGATATATATGTACACTATGTTTTATAATAAATTTATTTTGAATTTAGCGCGCACAGCCTGGATACAATATGTGCTCGATGATGAGCTACTACTTTTTACGTCCTAAACGTATTATATAGGGTGAACCACGCAATATGGTCAGCTTAGTTTATCCTGCTGTTAGTGAAACTTCTTTGGAAATTTTGTCGTCTAGTATATAACATGGTTTAAAGTGAACTTTAGGATGATCTTAAAGCTCATCTTGAATTATGTTATGCTAGACAAATTTTCAAGCAGTTCACTAACAGTAGAATAAACTAAGCTGGATCACTTGCGTGGTTCACCCTGTGTATTTAAAAAGATTTGAATATATAAATTAGTCATCAGAATACTTTCACATATAATTACAAATTAAATGCGCAGATAAGTGAAATGTATTACGTACGTACCTCGAGCTCTTATCAGTTCTTTTTTTTGCATCATTTGCATTTTCGTATTTATACATTTTCAGACTTAACATTAGTTATCTGACACATATGTGAGTATTTTGAGGAAGACGGTGAATATAGAGATAATGGATCGGACGGTGCAGTAGGAATCAAAAGTTCCGCATCATCCAGATCGGCAATGCGACATATTGCTTTCCTAATCTCGCTTTTCAATCTTCTCTTACTTGCTTCAGAGCGTAAACTGTGTAATTCTAACGCCACGTACTCGCCGAAACGATCATCTTCGTCCTGTATTTTCGGTAAAAATCGCAATGGATGCTTTAGTTCCTCGTTGTAGCTACTATTTAAAAATTTCGCAGGAATCTTCTTCTCATGTCTTTCCTCTATCTCATCTAAGTTCTTGTATTCCATTGTATTTCTTTCCTCATCCGGTGCTTTTGGTAAAAATCGCAATGAATATTTCGACTCCTCGTTGCAGTTGCTATTGAAATATTTAACAGGAACCTTCTCATCTCTCTCCTCTATCTTGTCCAAGTTTGTGTATTCCATTGTATTCCTTTCCTCATCCAGTACTTTTGGTAAAAATCGCAGTGAATATCTCGACTCTTCGTTGCAGTTACTATTTAAAAATTTAGCAGGAACCTTCTTCTCATCTCTCTCCTCTATTTTGTCCAAGTTTATATATTCTTCTGTATTCGTTCCATTGGGTTCTCTTTCCAGCTTCTGTAAACATATAAAATATAAAATAATAATGAATGCAATAAATTAATTCATAATAAAGATATACCAATTTACTAATTTATAATCATATTAATTCACTTCTCAAGGATTAAATTTTCTATATTATATTGCTATTCAATTATATATATATATATATATATATATGTGTGTGTGTTGTATTAAAACTTACTCTCATCTTGGATCTATTTATTACAGAAGGAATTAAAAATTTTAGCGCTGGAAAATAGCGCCAGCTGCTGGCAGGTACTTCATCATATTTGAATTTCTTTTGTTTCTTTGCTCTCTTTATCTCTTGACATAGCTGGAACAAACAATAAAGAAATGCACGGAATTTTAGCAAAGCATATATTTATATTTGAATATATAAATTTATGAAAAAAATATATAACACACATATATGATATATATGTCTCTCTTTCAATATTGTATATGCTGCACTATTCCCTAAATTAAAATTTTTTATTATTACACAACTTTCACACATACATGTACATATAAGATAAAAATCATTATAATTACCCAGATAACATTAAGATGTCTTAAGATGTCGTACAGATGTCTTTTAGATAATAAAATTTCTAAAATAAACACTTTTGAAGTATCTTTTAGATATGTGTTGTTTAGACAGAATTATTATAACTCTTCTATTATAATTATAGTGATTTCTGTGATTTTCAATTTTTACCTTAGTGTTGTAGTAATGTTAAGATTCAAAATTGTGTAACTCTTCATAAAATACTACCTAGAAAATGGTACAGCATACATAATACCAACTGTACAAGTAATTAAACACTATAAAACTACTTTATAAAGATCTTCGATTATCGTTTATTCACCTGACATCTCAAATTGTGCAATTTTCTAATAACCTCATCTGGATCGACGTTTATATTCACTGCGATACTCTTGATTATTTCCGTTTTTGCTTCCTTATTGCTATATTCCCAGTGCGTTGAATCCCACAACAGCGTATTCGCCTCGTAGAGTCTGATTAACTCGAATGTGTCTCCCGTAGACCATATATGTTGTGACATCCCAGTTAATTGAAAAAGCACTCCCGAGAGTATGCACCGAGTCGACAGCTACTTGTACCAGGTTTCTCTCGAACCTTCGTCTTTTTCGTTCAGAATTACATAGAACGAACTCGACCAGTTAACCAACAACGTTTTATTTACTTTTTCACATTTACAAACGTGGAGAAATTGTCGACATATTCAAAACGTCAGAGTTTCTCTGAGTTTTCCGATGGAAATTCGACTGTAGACTGATAATCAACGATAGCAACGCGCATGCGCAATGACACGTCCGCGTACGCAGCAGCGCCTCCTTGTGGTGTGCGAATTTGGTAACACTTTGTCATCCAGCCGAAGTGAAACAAAAGCCACACCATAAGAAAGTATATTTCGCCTTATGGGAATTCATTAAAAAATTTCATTTGGTCTACAGAAGAAGAAAAAGTATTCAACATTCATTTGATCCAGTTAAAGAAAAAAAAAGAAATTAAAATCTGACATTTGGAAAATTCGGATTCAAAAATCTATTGGAAAAAAAAAACGCAATAATCTAATTATTGCAATAATTGTTGCAATAATTAAAATGTCGTTTTAGTCATCAAATGTTCCCAAATAGCACTTTCAAGTATAACGACATAAAAGTAGCTTGGCGAAACTAAATTCATTTGAATCTTAAACTTGTAAGAAACCTCAGCTTGCAAATGTTAAATCTTTCTAAACAAAATATATCGCATATTTATACTCTTCTCTTCGCTCTCTCTCTCTCTCTCTTTCTTAACAGTTATATTAAATTACATATATTGATATCTCTTACAAGAGGGACGTTCGTTAACAGTAAACTAAACAGTATCCAATGCACGCGCATAATGTATGAAAAAATTTACGATCTGTGTAGCATTGCGTTAATATAATGCGCTTAACGTGTAATTAACTAGCTTACTCTTTCACGTCGCTGATGCCGTCCGCGCATATGGCGAACGTCGCCTCGTTCTCTGGTAGGCACGGTGAATCGTATATCTTACATATTCTGGTTTCTCCTCTGCCTTTACGCAGATACAATCTCGTCGTGCTCGAGTGTGCCAGTATGTGGCCTCCGATCGGTTTTTTCGTGTCGCCACCGAACATGCTAGCGGCGCCATCGACTTGAGCGACCACCTGATTCGTTATAACGACGGCGACCCCATGCTCGTCCGCTATTCTCAGTAGTATCCTGAGGAATCGCCCCAGGTGCTGTTGCCTTTCACCCAACTCACCTCTGCCGCAGTAATCGCTTCTGTACAGGCTGGTGGCACTGTCGATGATCAGCAAGGCATACCTGGCCTCGGTCATCATGGCACTGGCTTGTATCACCAACTGAGTCTGATGATCGGTATTGTAAGCTCTGGCACAGGCGACATTGTCGAGGACCGAGTCTCCGTTGATTTTGTATCTCTCAGCCACCGCTGTCAATCTCTCCGGTCTGAAGCCATTTTCTGTATCTATGTACAGACACCTTCCTTCAGCCCCACCCATGCTGACTGGTAATTGGCAATTGACAGCTAAAGTGTGACACAACTGAGACTTTCCTGATCTGAACTCCCCGAAGATCTCGGTAATGGAACCCGTCTCTATCCCTCCTCCCAATAAGTTATCCAGCTCCTTTGACCCAGTGGTGACGTAAACGATATTGGCGCGTATTTGATGTATCTCTGTGGCGGTCCTGAAACCCATCCTGACCAGCTTCGAAGCTTCCTGCAGCAACTTGTCCGCCTTGGCCTCGCTGATGCCCTTGATCGATATGAGGTGTTTCTTAGGCGCAAAAGCCACCGCTTCCACGGTGTAGAAGCCGGCTTCCTGCAGCTTCTTGATATCTCCCGCCGTGATACCATTTCTCTGTAGGTCGAGAAGCAATGTCAAAGGCAGAAGTCAACGTGACGGACATGTTTGAGCATGCAACGATGTGAAAGCGCGATTCGTCGATGTCCCGGTGTGTTGTCTATTCTACGCGACTCACCTCTAGAGTTTTGACCAGCTTTGCAGAGGAATAATTGTCCACATCGTCCTCGACATTTATACTCGCCGTCGCCGCGACTTCCATCCTGGACGATGCTGCCGCACAGGTTATAATGTCGACACTTTAAATGCGAACACGTTTTTGCGCCAAAACATTGCCATTACAGCAACATGCGCGTTGCCTCTGATAGATTTGAAATCGTCTTCAGCCGTTAGAACCAATAGAAAACGCAACTACGAACGAGATATAAAGGTAACTCTTCTCGGTTTGGTTAATCGACGGTCAACTCAACGAAACTGACCAATCACATTGGCCATTTAACTGAAATGGCCGATTAACGGAACCAAAGTTGGTGAAAGTTACCCTGAAAATAAAGAACCAATCACAATGTTCTTTTAAATAGGCATGATTTAGAAAAAGATAAAGTGGTAATTTCGAAGCAAGTGTTATTAGTTCAAAAATGTTCTGCTACAAGCCGTCATTGTTAAAGGATGTGGCGCCCTCGCATTATGTGATTGGTGCACAGCAATCGTGGTGGCATTGGAGGCAACTGATTAGAAGAGACTTCGATCGATAGAAAGAGATATAAAGACATATTGAAGTGCGTTCAGAAATACTACTCGATGGGCAAGGTAATATTTATTAACCAATTACGATAGAGATATCTTTGCTCCTTCTATTTTGATTGGTCAATTAGAATTTATTCTATTCGTCAAGTAGGACTTTCAAGCACCGCACCTCTGGGAGTAGAATTTCAGAATTTCAAAATCCGAATATGCCCGTTGGAATTTTATTCAATATAAAATGTATCGTAGCCTTGGTTGAAATAAAAAGAAACTATGACAGAAGTAAAATATGTGACAATTATTTTTATGTAGTGGGAGTTCTTATAAGAAGAATACGAATCAACAAGTCAAGCATACTTTATTCTTAAGCAGCTAGAATCAACGACTAATCAGATGCTCCTTTATTTTCAAATTTAGGATTTCGACTCAAGATTTTGTATCGGGAGAATATTAAGCGAATGGCACGAATCTCGTGAATTTTACCTTTTTATCTTTCTACGAACAGTCTAGTAAAACTAAGTATATTAAATGAAAAAAAATAATAATAAATGAAGAATAATAACAAATTCGTATGTCTAAATAAAATGCTTATTCAGGTTGGAACTATATATCACACATTACAATGTGTAATAATATGAAAATAAGGATAAAATATAATCTATAATATATAATTTATTACAATTTAATATGATACAATAAAATTAAAATATTACCCACACAATATTATGACGTCTTAAAGACACCTTAACAATTCCAACATGTAATTCATTTACTCACTAGGAAAAATTTTCTCAATTTCAACGAAATAAATCTGACAATTTCAAATATTTTTATTGGCTTATCATGTTGGTGATATCGGAGTTGCCAAACACGTTCTTCGCGTTTCTTCGACCGTGAGCTCTATTTTATTTATTAAGCATTCCAGGATGTTGCAAGAACATTAGTGTTTGCATCATTTTATATAAAATAAAATTTCAATCGCCCAAATAGCAATATAGCCAACACCTGCGGCTCAAACCCGACCTTCTCCCAGACTGTGTTCCAAAATCCTACTCGACAGATGGAGTGGCATTTGATTGACCAATCGGGCCCAAAATAGCGGAGATTTCTTTATCACGATTGGTTAATTAACGACACTCCTGCCCGTCCGGTAGGATTTGGAACGCAGCCCAAAGAGCTGACTTTCACGTGCTTCAGGTTGGTACTGGAAATTTACTTCTGGTTTCAAATATATATCCCGGATAATGGAATGTCCCCATACAGCGCACGGCTGTCACAGGGGACGACGATGGCAATAGCGTTCCGCAAGCACCAGCAGTCCCTTTTGTCTAGCGTATCTCCAGCTGCGATCTTCTTCGACCTGGACAACACCCTCGTGGAGACCAGGAAGGCCGACAATCAGACTTGCCGCAAGGTACGCGAAGCACACATTTTCCAGCTCGTTTCCTAACCCCCCGACCCGACGACACGACTTTCTCCCGTGGGAGGGAGGAGGAATCGCTGTCGGGAGGTCACGCGTGCGTCTCGCTTCTCACAGGACCGTCGCACTCTTCCGCGACGCTTACCCCGCATTCTCGCAAGAATAGAATCTGCCGTCGTCGTAGTTTCCTGTCATTTCTCCCCCTCCTGTCCCGCGCGCGCCGTGTGTAATACGAGCCGACTCCCCGATATAGCGCTTTCTCTACGACGCGGCAGCTATTTTCGTCGTTGCGTCCCTCACCTTCTCCGAATTTTCTCTCTCTCTTTCTCGCTCGTGGAAAGCCTCGTCGTTGTACGCCTCCTAAGATACGATCTTATGCTCGTTTTAGTTGCACCTTCTGCATCGTTCCCACCGCCTTTCTTTTTCGCTCGCACTCGTTCTCCTCTCTTTCTCTCTCTCTCTCTCTAGCTCTCCTACGAACTGTAAATACATATCTGTTTCGCTGCGAAGTGCAGAAAGTACAGCTAGACAAGCGACCGAGCACCGCTTCTGCACCTACCGCGTTGGAGCACGGTGCAAAGTTTGCGCGCAGATTAATTAATAAGTGGCGATATCGAATTTTTGCGAGTAGATAAGCGAGGGAAAATACTCCTCTCAAGGTCTTTGTGCGAATTTGTCAACGGTAGGTGTAAACGGAAGCGCTCGTCGAAATTGAAAGTACTCGTCGCCATGATGAGACGTCGTTCGCATCACGCCGGCGGAGTTCGCGCTGCGAGTTGCTTTTGAGGTTACCGCTCACGTCGGAATTCTCGGCGCGGCGTTTCAAAGAGGAGATCCCGCTGACGCGGCGAGAGCCCGCGCGCGCACACGTGTGCGACATGTCCGGCGGGTATTTTCGGCCGCCTCGGTGAGTGTGTCAAAGGGCAAGGCTAGGCGGCGACAGGACTGCACCGGGAAGCCCGCCAGTTAGCTCGCGACTATGCCACGCGACGGACACCGCGACGCCCGGTAACGCCTGCTCGAGCACACGGAAATCTCGTCCCTGCTGACGACGTGGGCTCGTCGATGACATCGAACCGCCGCATCTTGGCACAGCGATATAAAACGCACGCCGTCTGAAGATTCATCCAGCCTTGAAGATCCACACGAAGGTCCCCGACGTTTCTAAACTCGGACTGATCTTGTTCTTTCTCCGGCTCCCCTGTGACTTGCGACGAATAAGCCAGCAGCGCCATGAGCGTCCCCGAGGGTGTCACCAGGTGCCTGGCTATTCTGAAGGCGGTGGACACGGACTCGGAGAAGTTCGCCGCACTCTTCATGGTCACCAAGCTGGTGGACGGCAAGGACTGCACCCCGGCGGCCAAGAGGATGCTCTTCGAGGCCATCGGGGCCAAGTTCCTCAAGAGATTGCTCGTCAGTGACAGCGTGCCCGTGGACTGCCCGCCACAGGTCTACAAATCGGTGGCACTGTCCATCCTGACCGCATTCTGCGGGGAGCCCGAGCTGGCCTCTCACCCGGACATGGTGGGCCACATCCCGGCGCTGCTGGAGATAGTGTCTCAGGCCGACGAGGACGCGGCCGACGACATGCTGATCATCGTCAGCGAGGCGTATACCTGCCTGCAAAGTATCGCTCAGTACCCACCTGGGCAGAAGGCGCTGCTCGAGCAGCAGGCGATCCCGAAGATGTGCGACATCTACGCGGAGAAGAGCTTCCAGACGGACGAGGCGCTCAACATCTTGGTCACGTTGGTCGGCAGATTCGGCCCGGAAGCCTGGCACCCGTCGGACACCGCGCCCTTCCACGCGATACTCCACAAGGTGACGCTGGACTTCGAGACCGATCACACCGAGAGGAAGTTCCAGCTATGCGGCATCCTGCAGGCCCTGCTGCAGTCCTGTCGGAAGGACGTAATCTCCACGTCCGCGAAGGAGGAGTCCTGGCCGTTGAGCATCCACAAGGGCCTCAGCGACATCCTGGGCTCGAAGATCAGCAAGAATCAGCGGGACCCGGCTTTGAAACTCGCGTCCGTGACGATGGACCTCTTGGGCGCGGAGTGGGCGATGTCCGACAAGGAGAAACCAAAGATACTCCTCTTGCTGTTGATACAACTAGCGTCGATCGAGGTACGTATGCAGCTGGAAGGAAAGCAGCTGAAGGCTGTGCTCACGAACGCCGACTTGGTCACCGCCTGCTTCGCCATCCTCGAGATCTCGCTGGGGTACATCGTTACGGATCAGCTGGACTTGGACCAGAAGGAAAAGCAGTCCCTGTACACGGCGCTGAAGGGCGCCTTCGCGGCGGTGATCGGCCTGCTCAACGCCGTCTCGAAGATGAAGACTTTGACGAACATGGAGGAGAAGATCTTCGTGTGCGCGGTCGTCAGGGTGCTCGCAGCTTGGCTCGCGCAGGAGACCACGGCGATGCGTCCGCAGGTTTACGCCGTGCTGCCGTACGTGCTGACGGTGGCGAACGACACCTTCTATGCGCATCGAAACCGAAAGCTAGCCGAGAAGGCCAAGGCCGGCGCGAAAGCGGCTGGCAAGTCGGACGAGGGTACGTCGTCTGGAGAACCGGTCGTCTCCGGGGACCCGATGAGCGAGAACGATATATTAAGATTGCTGCTGCCCGCTCTGTGCTACCTAGCCGTGGAAGAGGACGCCCGGAAGATCCTACTTAAGCACAAGCAGGACGACGTCCTGTTCGAGTGCCTGTCCTACCATTGGACCATCGTGCATTACAAGAAGCCGCCGGTGCCGAGATCGGAGCGCTTGAAGGTCCTGCAGGACGGCAATCGTACGGAGGAGTTGGACCTAAGTGTCTTGGAGGAGATGAAGGACTCCAGGACCGCGATGGTGTCCATCTGCAACGTCCTGATGAACATTACCGTGCTGGAGGCGAAGCTGGTGGAGGAGTCGCCGACGTTCGTCTCGTTGCTGAAGTTCATCTTCAACAATCTGCCGGAGCTCAAGCAGATCCCGGAGAACCTGGTGCTGCACGGCCACCTGGCGGTCCTGGGCCTGCTGTTGCTGAAGCAGCAGGCCAAGCGCGTCAAGAAGAACGACTTCTCGATATGCCGTTACATCCAGGCGACCATCCGATTCCTGTGGGACGCCTACATCATCGACGAGGGCAACGACCCCACCGAGCTGGTGGTCGCCATATCGTACAAGGAACACTGGATGGAGCTGATGGAGCTCTGGTTCTTGGGCATGCAGACGATGGCCGGGGTGCTGCAGGTGATACCCTGGCTGTCGCAGTTCACGCTGGAGTCCGGCTGGGCGGAGGAGATAATCGAGACGCTGAAGAAGGTGAAGGTGGGCGGCCTGCAACCGAACGTCAAATCCGCCTTCGAAGATCTGCTGTGCCACTTGGTGAAGGCCAACGACGGGGTCGCGTCGGTGCTGAAGAAGCGCGGCGCCCTGACCGTCTGTCGGAATCATCGTATGATGGAGCTCGGGAAGCACCTCTTCGGCGACTAGAGCGAACATTGTCCCGCGTTACCATGTAGCGTTACCTGCGGCTTTTCGCTAGTTTAAGCAAACCCGCGCGCGTGTTGTTGTTTCTCTCTTATTGTTTCTACCGTCTCTCATATATCGCGGGCGAACTTGATGTAAAAGATCGAACGAACGGTACGGCAAATTGCAACTTTTCTACGGCAAAACAGAGAGCAGCTTTGTAAGTAGCCTTCGTAGGCGACTTCGGGTCGTTTATTGTACACGTCTCCCGCGTAGAGGGGAGATACACTTGAAATACACATGTGCGCGTAGTCGAGGATAAATTTAGACGGCATCACGTCTGGAAATAGTCACTTCTGGCAAGCAAGAGAGAGGCGTGTTTCACCGCCCGGTGGAATATTTCGTAAATTCGCGTACACGAAGGCGGATACACCGTTCCTTTGAAAAATGGGACTTCGACGCGTAAATATATTTCTCGTCGGTCTGTTGATCGAACGCTTCTGCCGGCGCCGCAGACAGGAAGATCGTCTGTATTAATTTTAATCTGTGATCTTGAGATACTTACACCGAGACACACGCGTACACACACACATGTACACACCGAGAGGCACACCCACCGGCGAACGTCTTGCGACGAAGATTTTGTAACAACGGCCGAAGCATTTTCCCATTAAACGGAAGGATTTTCTAAGCATTCACTTGACTTCTCGCATCGTCCACTCTCTGCCACTGATATATACCTGATGCTCTTCACCGCAGTTTTAATTCTGTAACAAAGGAAACGAATCGGAGAGAGATTACTGGATAGCAGATACGCGCGCGACTAATCACACACACGAGATGCGGACTAATTAGGCTTAGCGGCTGCTTTTAAGTTTAGACTGTGTACGAGAGAGTCCGCACGGTTTCCGGCATATCCAGAAATCTTTCGGCCACAACTTAATAGGGTCTGGTATAACCATTGTGTTGTTGTTGTAGTTGTTGTTGGCACAACTGATTTTGTTGTGATTACAGCAACGTCCGCGGGTGCCACTTCGAGTGTCCACTAATCGGCTCGAGTATTTCAATGAATCAATGCATTTTCTAGGTAATCATTAATAATGAATTAAGTGCCCTAAACTCCTAACTGACCGCTGTATCCTCTCGTCCTTGGTTGATCAATGAGAACTCCACATTCAATATCGTCTCGTTCGCGCGGATTCGCGGTCTCGCCGGGCCGTGATTCTTCCTTTTTTTCATCTTCTTCCGTTCCTTCGACGAAGAGGAAAACGTTGTTCGCGACAAGAGAGAGACGATCGTCCGCATCGTTTCAATGTGCGTGTGCACATTACGCGCGTGTTATTAATCGAAACACCGATCGTGATCGATCGCGCGCTCACGTATTGAGTGTGGAAATATCACTTTCATCCTCGTTCAGTTTTTTTTTCTTTTTTTTTTCTCTACCGTCCCTCTTCATTTTCAGTTCTTCGCTCATCATTCTTTCTAACGTCACGAAAACGTCTCTGACCCGCAACGAAAGCGTCCGAGCTCTCATTGCGCACTTATTTACCTACAGTTGGCTGAGGAATTGACGCAAGAATACGGCATCCCCGAGGATGTTTCCGCCAAGATAACGGCCGTGTTTCTCAAGCAATTCAGAAAATGCCCGGACAACGCGACCTGCACACTGGACGCTTGGCGCACGATCTTGTGGAACAAAGCACTCGGCGACAAGTACTCGCGCTTAGCGAAAAAGGTTTACGAACGATGGCTGTATTTAAGATACCACTACATGGTGCTGACGCCGAGTACGGTGTCGATGCTGCGCCAGCTCAGGAAGAAGTATCTGCTGGGACTGATCACGAACGGGCCGTCGAACGCGCAATGGGAGAAAGTGCGCAAACTGTCGCTGGAGCAGTACTTCGATATCATCCTGGTGTCGGGTGATCTCCCGTGGGAGAAGCCGCACGCGGAGATATTCCGAAGAGCCTGCGACTTCCTCAACGTGAGACCCGAGGGGTGCGTCATGGTCGGCGACAAGCTGGAGACCGATATTCTAGGTATATTCCATATATTCACTTCGATCTTACGCGTTCGCTACCGGCGTCACACGTATGCGCACACAGTGATCACTTTTCTATCGTCCATGTAGGCAAACCAAGGGTGACTTTCACCAGGATGAATTTCACCTTGCGATCTCCTTTTAAAGGAAACCCACTTTTGATTCAGGTTCTGAATTACCGTCTAACTTTTCGCTCCACTTTTGCTAAACGTAATGTAGATCAATTTGCAATTTTTCTTTTTTCTTTCGTTACTTCGAGTTACGGGCGATACATCGTTAAATTAATCGACGAATAACGATGAGAATTGCTAGCGCCAATTTCCAGTTCCGTAACTCTCCTCGTCCCGCGTCGTTCGATAATGATGAAAAGGTTCGTAATTTTCTGTCTGTGTTAGCAAGGTAGAGGCAGGCATAACACTTGGACTGATAGCGATTTTAAATCGTCGATTTAGCGTAATCGCAGTCGGGTGAAAGTCCACCCTAAGTCTGTTTTGGTTATATGAGAGAAAAGTGAAAGTGTCGCATCCGGCTGTACACAATAGGCCTGTTCGTTTTTTAGTTGAACTAGTACTACATTGGAACTATACACTTGTTTCACTCTAAAGGCAAAGAGTGCAATCTAGTTCGGCTAAAGCAAATAAATCACATTACATTACACACAACCCAGTAAACATCAACGTTATATCAATATTACAATTTCCCGCTCGACAATATAAGCGCAACATAACACAAGTTACATGCAACAGTTACATCTTTAAGTGGGAAATCACAACATTAACATAATGTTATTGTTAACTAGTGCTTCCCGAGCAATAACACAAAAATAATATAGACTAGACTGTGTGGAGAAGGTTTCCCAGACGAACTGTAGCGAACGTGTTAACGCCAATCCGTGTTCCTACAGGTATTCGTTCCGAACAGCGTGCGAGATACGTGTACGTCGCAATAAACGCCAATGTTACATTGTACAGGTGGTATCGAGGCTGGATTGCGCGGGACCGTGTGGATACCCACTGCAGACAAGCCTCGTCTCTCGGGAGGCGACCCCAAGCCGGATTTTACAATAAGACACGTGACGGAACTCGCGCGCATATTAGACAGAGGTCCAAACGCGCCGGAACTCGAAGACTGCTCTTCAAATGCGTCCGATGGCAGCTAATAGGCTGCGCTGGAAGAGCATATGACGGAAATATTCCCCCTACGCCGTAAGACTCCGACACTTACGAGCGTCTCCATGTCTATCCACGATTTTGGCATCACGTTCTCCTTCGCGAACGTGCAATGAATGCGTTTGTTTTTTTTTTCTACGCATTCTTTACAGTAGTATTCAGATATATAGGCATTTCGATGTATTTTTTTTTAGCGTGTTACTGTTTTTTTTTTGTTTTTCCTTTCTTGAGTTTATCACAGGATAGCCTGCGGGTTTTTCCGAATTTTTATGAAAGGAGAAGCGTGAGATTACGATGTGCTCGTGCCAGGTTACGAAGACAGTAGTCTTATTCGTACGGTGCGATCGAACGCGACGTATAACGCAGCTGAAATACAAATTTATATTTGATAATATATATCAACATTTTATAGGTGATAGTTGTGTACGCATAGTTGTAGCTGACGTCCAATAGCGTTGCTATCCAATGAGAGATAATCCTTTAGTTACCTTTGTGAAGCTAAACACTAAACGTACCTCAACGTATATCGAGCGAAGAAGACGGAACACATGTACAAAACTAAGTGCACAAGCAGAGCCAGTAGCCGTAGGTAAACGAACAAAGTAGACTCTAATATCGAGACCACACACATACACACAGCTGTTTTATCGCTTTGTATAACTTAAAGCGCGCTGTAACATACGCATCGAAAGGGTAACCATTCTCACGACGGCGATCGTGACGAACTTCCTGTTGTACAAACATGTAACTTTGTATACCGGTACCTGTACTTAGATATGTACAGAATGTTGTATATGCGCGAGGTATGAATGTACATGACGTCTATTTTTTCACTATATGTATATTTTGTCTGCGAAGGAAGGGAAGAGGGTTTATCGTATTGGAAAATTATATGTAGACGAGAGGTCCTACATAATGTCACATATATACGTACACGCGTTGTGTCAAGTGAAAAGAAGTACAATCAAGATGTAATAAAAGAAAAACGCACGAACGAAATCATCAGAATGTGTGTGTGTATATATATATATATATATCATACTTTGCTCCCTGTGTCGTTATTTATTTCAGCGTGTCGTCGAACGAGAATCGTGTGTCCAACGTTATTCATTATTATCGCAACATCTTATTGACGAATGCGAGGACAGAATACGTACAACGGCAATACTATAACTGTAACGTGAAAGAAACGTGTTCTTCAACAACGGGGCACATTTATTATGGAATTGTTCGAAATGAATTCCGATTGGAATGATTCTGTTTTACCTAGAAGACACGATAGAGATCTAGGGAATAACTGAACGATTTCGATCGGAAACTTTTCCGGACAGTTCCACAATAAGTGCTCAGTTTAACGATCGTGTAACTCTTCTCCAGGAGCGAAAGCTACACATGAAAAACTTCACGTTGCTCGAAAATTTATATAATTGCTGAAGTCGTCGAGTACGCGTGACATTTTTCAAGTTTCCGCTGCTAAGGAAAAATTACACGATTGCCAAGTATAAAAATAATGGAAATGTGTCTGATTTTTTAGGCTTTCGTGGTGTGGAGAAACGCTCGAGCTGTATTCCGGATTGGTGCCGCGTCCTTCGTGAATTTATTTCAAAAGTTTTGTTAACACTTCAGGTTGCTCCTCTCTCTAAAGAACTGAAACGCTCACGAGACGTCGGCAACAAATCCACGAGGGACGCGAAATCAAGCCGGAATCCAGATCGAACGTGTCCACCTCATCTTTCAGCTCGGCTTACGGTTTGATTATGGGACTGTCAGACGCTGTCTGGGACTCTGTTCCCTCTTCTGTTTCTATTGTTTCGTCTTGCGTGGACACGAGGTTCGATGCTGAAGTCTCGCCTATGAGAGAAGTCCGTTTGTCGTCGTCCTGTGATTCCTCCGACTTCTCAAACTCCGAGTACGAATACGAAGCCTCCGCTTCGTCTTTGGCCTTGGGAAAAAAGAGAACCACGTCATTTTTCGGAGTTGTGGGTTCTTATAGGCCGGCTTCGTTTAAGATTTTACCTTATCAATGTCCTTTTTCGTTTCCACCGTCTCATCTTGCGTAGCTACGAAACTCCATACCGAAGATCTGGCTTTTTGTTTTATCGTATGACGGACCAAATTGTCTTCGACAGAATAGCCAACGCTCTCAGACGTCGCGGCTATGAACGAAGTCCGCCTGTTATCGTCTCGTGGTTCTAAACTTGCCGGTTGTAAGGGAGAAGCTTCCGCTTTTACTGGAACCTAAGTAAAGAGAAGATCTACATTACTCGTGTTAGAGGATGGTCAGTGGATGATTTTTCAGGACTTGATACTAATACTGGATGATTTTTCAGGACTTGATACTAATACTGGATCTATGTATAATTCCGTAGCGAAAGTCGAATAAATTTCAAACGCAAAATATTTCGGGAAAAAAGCGATTTCAATCAACCAAATATGTTCCATTCTGTTCAACGACTTTCTATTCTCTCTCCACGAGCTTCATCATCATTTTTTCATAAAAAACCTGAGACCCTATAATAATGAAATGGGGAACGAGCGCGGGATTATGTAGCTACCGGAGAGGTGGCAGATCATCGAACAAAACGGCGCATAATTGACCACAGTCGGATTTTATATCCAAGACGGTCTTAAGTTCATCTTCAGATGCTGTACGACTCATTTCATTGACTGTAAAGCATCTGAAGATGAACTCAAGACTATCTTAAATATAAGATCGGACTATGAATCTTTAACAAGGAAAGATACTGAAGGCTCTGGTGATAAACAATCAATAAGAATGAGAGGGACCAGAAGAAGTGACGAGATCTCACCATTCCATCGAAGGGCGGGTCTTTGCTTTTATAAAACAGACTCTTGCAGATGTATTGCGCCTGCTTGGGATCTATGCCTGCTTCTATCAGCGATATCAGCACGTCTCCCTCCGTGAGGAGCATCTCGGGATTCGCGTCGACCACAACCACTGTCTTCGTAGAAGTTCGGCTCGGTTCTCTGTCCTGAGCCTCCAGCGATTTCTGATAATACTCGAATTTCTCCATCACTTTGTTCTCGTCCAGCACTTTCGGCGGCGTAGGTGGTCTAATCTCGGAGACGTGCAGTAACTTTTGCGCATGAATCAAGTCCTCCAGCTCGTCGTCTACGTCATCCGATTCCTCGTCCAGCATGTTTAAAGAAATCTTCAACTGATAGATCTCGAACAGCATTCTATTCTGAAACAAAGGGGGAGAGAGAGAGAGAGAGGGAGAAAGAGAGTTTGTATTATTGACATGTTCGACATATTAGTGACATGCATATGTCAACATATAATACATAGGGTCAGTTTCACAACCCCCGGTTAACTTAATCCGCTGGTTAATCCATTGGAATTGACCAATCGTTTTTGTTGTTGAGCAGAATTGACGAAATATAATCAATCACAGTTGACACTTAACCGGTCGGTTAAGTTAATCGGAGGTTGCGCANTATATAATAAGTTAATAATTAACTGACGGTATTGTTATTCGTACCATGTTCAATATTCCCTTATTTTTATCAGTGTGCTTCTTGAATACATCCTGCAGCTCCTTATCGGTGTAGAGGCCACTCTGCATGATCTCTTTGGTGATATCGTAGATGAAATCGACGTATTTCTTCTCATCTTCCTTCTGGGACGCTGATCGATCGACGGATTTGTCATCGGAATCGTCGGGACTTCGCAAGGTCCTCGACGACTCCAATCGACGGTCATTTGTTTCTTGTATCGGGGAACAGCATGTTGATTTAAATTCCGACGGGTCTAAGGTGGTGGTCGTGCAAGGAACGAAGACCGAATCCGCTTTGTATCTATATTTTCTGTGGATGTGAGGAAAAGAAGAGATAAATAATTACAAGCTCATGGCATGTTAAGAAGAAAAAATGAGTGAATAATTTAACTTATAAGTAGAAGTAAATTTGACGCAATCTCACCTCTGTCGCGCAAAGCCTATCAACGAGCCAGTCGCACCACCAGGGTCTTCCTTCCACTCGCTTTTGAGTTCTTTCCCACTAACGGTGTTTGGTATGAATTTTTTACGTTTAGACGTTGCGGCGGGCGATACTGATCTTTGGCTCCTTGACGTTGATCGTTGACGACTTGTTTGACCGCTCGCTTTGCAACACGGCCGGCCACAGTTTCTCAATCGCCGGTATTCCAAGTTACAATCGCAACAACCCAAACATTCCGGACTTTTTTTCATTCTTAATATGTCCTGCATTAACAAATATGCAAAAAAAACATTATAAACTTAGAAATATTGTCGTTTTCATCTAACTTATGAAAAGTAGACACGCTAAAACTATCATTGAAACCCCTGATGGAAATATCTTGCTGAAAATATAATGAAATTTTACTGAAATTCTCTCTTAATTGACCTTATTTTATTATTATTCCATCAATATTTCGATTTACAAAAAATTCTTTATTACTTTTCAACGGTATAATTTAACTTTCCTTGTATTTCGCAGTGATGCATTAAATTTTATAAGGAAAATGATGATTCATTTTGAAATATATTCAAAATTCAGTAACTTTTCAATAATTTTAATTTCACTTTTCAACGATTTTATAATATTTTCAGCTAAATATTTCCATCAGGGATCGTGGATTAGATTAATACTTTCAATGATACTCGTTTTTAGATCTACTTATAAAGATCATAGAAAGCATTGAAAAAGTTGACAACCTTTTATTTGTTTCGCATCTGCACTTTTGTGTTACTCATAATCGATTTTCACTTGATTTTTAATTCTAATAATTCTAATAAAATATTGAATTCCAAATATGCTACTTGCACAGAGCTTTACCAATGGATGATGCTGAGTATCGTAAGCTAATCTATTGATTATGTCGTCCGTCATTTTCGGGAGTGGGCAAATTCTCCTGTTATTAGTTGGCTTGCTTCGTTTGTTCTTTCTGCAGATGTAACTTTTGTTCCTCGAGTCGACCACGCTCTTCGCCGATAAGATCCGTCGCAGATGCTGGCTCATCGAGTTGTACGCTGTCATTTGCTCGAAATAATTCTGTCCCGTTTGATTGTACGCTGTGATAATATACATCAGATCAGACATTCCAGTCGCAAATTAATGCATACCTCTCGACGCAATGAGCACTCACCGCTGCTTTTTAAATTAACCTTGTTCTTCATGCATCTTGTCATTTTCTGGATGTTAATTCTAATAATTTACTTCTAATGTAACGTTTATAAAAATATAACGGATAATTATCAAATTATAGAGGCGTTGAGAGTTTCCTTAAAAAAAATTTGGTCGACACAATAATCCGGTAATGTTAAAAATTTGTCATCTTTCCTCGGAATGGATGCTATGCCATGTTTGCCTGCATATACTCACAGGATTTGGTTGACGTTTTGTCGCTAAGCAACGGCCACGTTATTAGATTCCCGCCATTTATTCAATACTCTCGCGTTAAATACATAGAAAGCAGACGTGGTTGTACAATCAATTGGTTCCAATACAACGTGTTGATTATATTTTAACATAAAAATTAGGAACAGACGGTTACATTTGGCATTAAATGTACAGTTAGCGACGATGTGAAACCCGTGTGCATACTTACGCAACAAATGGCGTAAAGCGTTAATATTGTTATCAAAATATTAACTGCACTTCGTTTGGTGTAAAATGTTACGAAATTTGGTCTGTATTAAATGCATATAAACACCTTGTTCCCCGCACACAAGTCAGTCGATATAAAAATATATTAATTTTACATCTTGTTTATAAATCTAGATGTTAAGGAAACTTGTATGTATATATAAATATAAGCATAAATAACTCGCCAACAATCGAACAATCTTCAATCCGCTCTTATAGGCGTTCTCTGTGCTGTATTGTTCTTCGGATAGATATACACTTGTCCTAAAATAGCGATATCGATCGCAACCTGAACAGCACCGCATATTTGGAATTGCACCGGAGTATCCTTCAAGACGAAGTAACATGTCTTAAAAACGTCTCCCATTGTCCACATAGCTACCATGGATATGCTAAAAATGAGATAAAACATTCATTCATTGCATTTATGCATGCATATGATTCATATAATTATTTTGATATCGTGCAAAATGTGCTCACCTCATCCCTGCGGTTGATTTATTTGAGGAATTCCGTAGGAATTGAGGGATACCAAGCATGGCTTCTATCAATACTGCTAATAATCCAACAACTTCAATAAATATTGGTATATCCAAAAATAAATACGTTAACACGCTACCAACAGTGGCGAATAAAATCATAAAAGCCACATAGGATTGGAAATTCGTCCATTTCCAAAAGAATCTAAGATCTAAATCTGCAAAAAAGAATTGCTCTCATACGTACGTGTAATATTTTACATATCATGTATACAGTCTCTTCAATGCTATCTGATAATAAAATTGACCTTACCTGTGAACACCCGTTCCTTTGCTTTAATTATCTGTGTTCTGTTTTGTATATTGATACAAAGCTTAATCATGACAAACATTGCAACAATCATAAGCATACTTTGCAACAAAAGTGGAAGTTCATAATGTTTACCGAACCTGTAGTGAACACAAGAAGTAGAATGAGCGTTCAATATGCCAAGTACCTTCTTCTTATTACACGTATATATAATAATTGCAAATATATACAATAAAATCTATATGTAAAAATGACATAAAACTTGAGACAAAACACAACGTGCTCCAATATAAAACAAGTACAAACCAAAATAATATACGGAGGGTGTTGGCGATTAGAAGGGTGAGGCAAACGTAAAGAGAGAATCCTTCTGCATCCTCTTTTCTTTTGATTTCCTTGTACTGCGGCACATATGGTATAATTCCACCGACAATCATAGCGCCCGATGCAATCAAATTGATTGCGTTCTTCAAGGTCAATTCATACCTGTCCATCGCGACAGGCGTTTGCTTGTAGCATACCGTGTGTCTTGTATATTGATGTATGTGTGTGTTAAAATATTATATTACAAAAGATGCATTGTGCAAATATTATTCGATGGTTTTAGGTTATATGATCATTCACCGTCGCTATCGTAGCGTCCATTCCCGCCAAGAATGATGACATAAGCTCATATCTGTGTTTGATCTGTGACGTTGATAGATCGAATATTTCTACAACGTGAATTACCGCATCGTTCCCAACTATGTACACCCGCCGTCGCATTTACAATCGAGATAAAAACATGCGAAAGGCATCTCTACCCTCTCGCACGTTCAAGTTCGTATCTGTCACAACGAATCATAGTTTCCACGAACGGCCGATAGAGGTCCCAAGAGGAACCTGAAACCATAAAGTTCGCGAAATATTAATTACGTTAATCATACCCAACGGAGAACATCACGCGTATCTCAATATATTTACAAAATATATAAATAATTATAAAGTTCATAATTTATATTTTGATTTGAAGAAGAGACCGCACTTACCTGCCGTCGGCGCACGACGAACGGTCGGTAACGCAGCGTTCCTGGGTTACCCCCGAAACTGCTGCAATCACGCGACGTAAAACGCAGATTGTCGCTGTGGACTGCCCGTCTATTTTTAAATAAAACAAAGATAAAACAATGACAGTTCACGATGTAGAATGCACGGTGCGCAGAAGAGAGTGGACTTTCGCCTCTACGTTGCCGTTGGTCGCTGTTGGCGGTGATCGCGAGAAATGCGTAACCTATGGCAGTGTTATAATGACGATTCGCGAAACAGTCATTTGATAAGGCTGATGATAACGCACGCACACGCGCCTACCTCGTCGTTTATCGCTTAATTGGCACGCAAGCGTAATGAACGCGCTCCAACCCCTGGTCGGGCAATTCTGTCTCGTCAGCGGAACGACCCGGGCGACTCGGATTGTCAGTCGCGGTTAAACGAATTAATTTGTTTGCGCCGCCGGTTCCCGACAGCCGCGCGAGTCATCAAGTATGCTCATTGAATTACGCCCGACGTCCAATTATCTCGAGAACAACCGATTGTATCGTGCTAATTGTCGCGGCCGCAAGTAAGCTCGTCGCCGCTCTGCAGAGCGGCAGCAGCAGGATAATCTCGGTGGTGCCAATTTACAATGAACCATATTGTTGACAACTGAGATACAGCAAGCTGGAGTATTTAATGTTGAAGGTAAAATCTCATCTTTACCTTAGCTTATTGTTTATTAAATAGACGCATAGATATCCAAATTGTAGCGACTCTTTGTGATATTCTGTTGTTGGGTACACAGATGCACTGGTTAGCTATGATAATGTGCCTGTATGCTGGGCTAGCTAGTGCACGCACAGAAGAGGACCAGCAGGCATCAANCACGATCTCCCTCTTTATGCCTGGAGCGCTCTGCCTTATAGGATACGACTGCGGAGGAGAATCGTTCATGACACAGAAGATACAGACGGGATTCCTAATTCTCCTCCGGTGCAGTGTTTCTACAGACAGGCGATTGACTGCCCGAACATCGGCGCGGATTCAAACGAGTGTCCCTGCAAGAAGATCACACTTGCCAATGTAGTTGAGCCCCATGCTGCGCTCTGCTGTAATATAAACAGCCAGACTTTAGAATATGGCCTCTCTTGTATGGGTGAGTGTTGCTGCTACTGTTGCTTTGAAGATAATTGGTCTTAAATCAGGAGTAGAGATTCTCATGTGTAAGTGGGAATATCATAATCTTCTTGGAAGAGAACTTTTAGTCTCGATTGAATTTATATTAATGCAAATATTGAGCTTGATTCAAGAGTAAAAATCTAAAAAGAAACCTGTGTAACCGGTCAGATATCATTGTTACGATTTTTATTAAATTATCTCAGGCTTCCCTTGGCTGAACATAAGCTACGTGCATATACGCAACGCAACCCTAGATGTATTTAAGACGAGTGAACGCCGATGGAGGCAACTGAAGTCACTGGCCATGACCGATGGCAGGATTAGTCGAGTGAAGGGGCAGTTTCTTATGAAGACACCTATAGTATGTCTGAATCTGTCGAATAACGCGCTGGTCGAGGTGGAGAATAACTCGTTGACGCGGTTAGAGCAGCTCGCCACTTTGGATCTGTCCTATAACAATCTCACTCACTTACCAGCATTGAACACAAACGGTCGTGAATTCTGGCTAGACATCTCAGGTAACAGAGATACCCGTCGCCTCGTTATCTTAATTAAACTTATGTACACAAAGCACCTGTCACAACACGCTTCAAGCACACGTACACCTCATTCAAACACGTCACATAGACACACGCGTCTCTCCGTTATTAAAACATCTCTTTTTCCGCAGGTACAAACACGCTCTGGTGCCACGATATTTACCAATATATCAACAGAACGGGCGAGATGCAAATCACTTTTAATCGCGAGAACGAGACGGTCTGTTCCGCTAGTAAAACATGGCATTGGTTCAACACCACTGAGCAAGTGCCGCTTAAACAAGTCCGTTATCTCAGCTCGGTACGTCTCCGCGCGGCAATAATGTTACCTGAGACGACGTTTGTTACGTTTTACATGAAAGATGACCAGAATTAACCCGTCGACTTTCAGTTGCAAACAGAATGTCCGAAAGGCGACACCTGGCAGTGTCAGTGTAACGTCAGCAGGATGGACATTGTCGAAGGGAAGCCGCCTACCTTCGCCGTATACGTAGATTGCAGCGGCATTCAATTAACGGAATTGCCGGAGAAATTGCCGCGCAACACCATCACGCTCAATGTTTCCTATAATAACGTGCGTACGGTCATGCTTCGTCGTATCTTGCCGAGGGAGCTTGACTTCACGAATAACGCACCGAATTCCTTTTAGATCACCGTCTTGGACGATCTGAGCACCAATCCGTGCTACGAAGATTTACGCGAGTTCTACGCCGATTATAATAACATCACCTCGATAAACAAGCTGGAGGGCTCCAAGTTTCTGGATAATTACGCCCTTCTGAGTCTACGGTACAATAAAATTAAATCAGTAAGTGAAGGAATGCGCGCACGAGACAGATCAGTTCGCGATGGTGACTGCAAACTGTACTAAATGCAATTTGTGCTTTTTCAGCTGCCAACGTATATTCTAAGTCCGAACGTGTACAATAAGAATTTCGCGACTCTGAGCTCGCGATTAGTCAAATTAGGCGGCAACGAGTTACATTGTGATTGCAACACCGCTAAATTTCTCAAGGTATCGTGCGAGATTTAGATTTACAGCGAAGCACATACGACGCAATTGCGTGAGAGAACCTCTGTCGTCTCTTTCTCACAGGCATGGTTGCAGACGCGGATATTGGACGCCGACGAGGTGATGTGTGAGAACGAGAAGAGAAAAGTTTTAGAGCTAGATGTAGCGAGGATGTGCGTGTACCCGGGAGACTGGACTGACTATATATATTATATTATCGGTATCGAGGTAATGATTCTCATCGGCTTGATAGTCAAAGTATCGTACGACTATTGGGTGCTGAAGACTGCAGGATATCTTCCGTGGCCGGCGAATAGGATGCCGAAATTACCTTGTGATTGGCTGTGCGAAAGATTCACGAAGTAATCTCTACATGTACAAGTCCATGACAAGCGTTTGATAAATATTTTACATCGCCTAAAACGTGTGCAATCGTTAAACGAAGAGGGAGTTATGATACGTTTATATCGTTTGTATTTAATTAACACAACCCAACGATCTAATCTAATATAGTGTGTGCGTATGCTTCGATTATGCAGCGTGAATTTTATCGCTGGCCATCTCGTGCTCGAGACTCGCGAGCCTAAACAAGTGGTACCGCGATATAATTGCGCATCTTGTATGTAATACGAAGTATATTACGATATTTTTGCAAAAGGAGGGTTTTATAAAAAAGAGCGCAAAAGCGTTTCTATGTAAAAGACTTATAAAAATCATATATTTACATTTTATATATATATATATATATATATATATATATATAATGTAAATAATATATACATTAAAAACTGTTTCTAAAAATAATATACTTACAATTATGCCCTGAATGTGTGTTTCGCGCAATATTTCCTTTATATTTTACCGTTTATATCCCAATTTTTGTATTTTATCTTTATTTTCTCTTTAAGATATATTAATTCTTTTGAACATACATGACACATGAAAATAAATAAATTTTCAAAATTTTCTCTATATATATATATATATGTATAGAGAGAGAGAGAGAGAGAGAGATGGTTATTCAATTTTTTGAGTTGACTACTGCCATCTATTGCATTACTTATTAACTATATTCTGCCTCTACGAATAATGCAGATATCATACTGTTGCATAAATTTTGCGGAAACTGATAGAATTACATCTTACATAAGAACATATGCTAAGAATAAAGATATGTAAATATTTTACGGAGTACATTATCAGCACACATATTACAATTCATAAATAAGTAAATTATACGCTCAACGTATGTGCCAAGGTTGCATTCTGAAAATGTGCTGAATTACTGACAATACTGAAAATCCACAGTATACGTGACGTGAACTATAGATTTTCAACTATAAGCGTATTTCGGAATATAGCCTTAATTGAAAGTGGTTAGAAAGAGCATGTCTGACACGAACGGTCCCATGGTGTAATGGTTAGCACTCTGGACTTTGAATCCAGCGATCCGAGTTCAAATCTCGGTGGGACCTGCGTGTAAGCTTTTTTTTTTGTCAATAAATTATATTTTATGTCCATTTGGTGTGAATACATATGCTGTTACATTGACCAGTTAGTGAATGTCAAATTAAAAATTGTAATTGGATCTGTTCCTCTAATTGCACTTCTTGTACTTTCTTGCAATCTTTCACTTATCTTTCCCTCTCCTTACTCGCACGTACACATCTTAAATATATATACCTGTTTTATTTTAAATACAAAGTTTTATATATATATATTCTTAGTTACAAGGAAGCGTAATATAGCGTATAGTTAAAAGGAACAGATCCATTATTAGCGGTAAACGTGACACATGATTCATAACCTATCGAAACGTTAATCTTAACCTAACCTATAGTGGGAACGATGGACACTGCAGATGTAAATACAACGTGACATTTTCGAGGATTAATTTCGCCGTGAGAAATGACCGAACATTCCGAATCCGTGGTGGTTATCAAGGCGAAACCCGTTCGCAAGGTTTTCAAGGCTCACGTGAGAGCCAGCAAAATCCCCGAGGAGCTATTGAACGATCCTCAGTTGAATTCTGCCGTGGCAGCTTTACCGTCGAATTATAATTTCGAGATACACAAGACGATTTGGCGGATCAAGGAACTGAAGGTGAAGAAAGTGGCGCTCCAGATGCCAGAGGGTCTCCTGATGTACGCTACAACTATAGCTGACATCATCGAACACTTCACCGAAGCAGACACTGTTATTCTGGCTGATGTCACCTATGGTAAGCTTAGATCCAAGTCGAATGTCCCATGTATAATTCTATACGCTTTCCATACCTGCTCATATATATTTATATTATTAAATATTTACTACAGGAGCCTGCTGTGTGGACGATTATACAGCAAGAGCATTGGACGCAGATTTCCTAGTTCACTACGGCCACTCATGTCTCATACCTGTGGATCAGACTGCCGGCATTAAAGTACTTTACGTATTTGTTAACATAAAAATTGACATCTCGCATTGCGTTGAGTGTCTACAAGTCACACTGCCGGTTACCGCAAAGTTAGCATTGGTCAGCACGATACAATTCGCCACTATGATACAAGCAACAGCGTCGGAGCTGAGGAGAGGAGGATACGAGGTCTCGGTGCCGCAGAGCAAGCCGCTCAGTCCTGGAGAAGTACAATAACATTCCTCTAAGTGTTTGAACAAACGAAGATCACGTGGTAAATCGTTTCTCTTAAAAAGATATTAGGTTGCACAGCGCCTCAGGTCCGCTGTGCCGACGCGGTGGTCTACGTAGGCGACGGTCGTTTCCATCTGGAGGCTGCCATGATCGCCAATCCCAAGCTGAGGGCGTTCAAGTACGATCCGTATGCGAAGAAGTTAACCGAGGAATTCTACGATCACGAGAGAATGCTGAAGACCAGACACGAGGCGATACAGCGCGCCGCTAAGACCGGCAAATACGGCCTGGTGCTTGGCACTCTCGGCAGACAGGGCAGCCCTAACGTGCTGAGGACTCTGCAGAACAGAATCGAGGCGTTAGGGAAGGAAAACGTCGTGATACTGCTGTCGGAAATCTTCCCGGATAAAATTAAATTATTCGACGGCGTCGACGCTTTCATACAAGTACAGTTTCTCTCGCTTGTCAAGAAATATGCGCCAACAATAGAAATCTCTAGATCGATTTGTCTTCATTTAATATGTCATTCAAAATTTCTCTCCCCCCTCTCTCTCCTCTTCTGATATTAAACTATGTTTTCATACAAGCAAGTTTCTGTTATTTACTAAGAAACATATATGAAATAAAAAAGAAGTCCACTAAGAAGAAAAGAGAAATTTCCTTAGCCTATTTGGTGTAATTTAATGTGTAATTCAAAATCTCTGTTTTCTCTCTCCTTTCTCTCACTCCGTTGAACGATTCTTATTCGTATTGTTTAAGATCGCGTGTCCACGATTGAGCATCGACTGGGGCGTCGCGTTCGAGAAGCCATTTCTCACCCCTTACGAAGGCGCGGTCGCCCTCAGGATGGCGGATTTCGACAAGGAGCGGCCGTATCCGATGGACTTTTACGCCACGGTCAGCCTCGGCCCGTGGACTGCCAATCACAAGGAGTCAGAGCTAAAAACGCCCGATGCTTGTTGCGGTAAATGTAAAACGGATAAATAAAGGATTCGATTATTTGAAATCTGCTTGCCTCGGTGATTATTATCAACCGGTCGTGTGTGTGTGTGTGTGTGTGTGTGTGTGTGTGTGTGTGTGTGTGTGTGTGTGTGTGTGTGTGGTATGAAAATCTCCAGCCGCTGCTCCCGCACACAATTTTCCCGGGGGAGGAGCGTCGACTCGCAGAAAAATCGCGCTTAATCAAATTTTCATCGACGTAACGTTTGAGCTTGGGCAAGTGCATCCAGGCGTTGTTCGTGTTACGACCTCCGTCATCCCCAAGTTGTTGGTGGTGTGGCGATAATGGGGAGATAGGAGGGTCCGCGTGGGCGAATTACGTCATACGCCCACCTGTAGCCTGCTCGCAAATCTAGAGGGGTTGGAAGCTCCATATACCGGGTGTTCGACAGCGACAGCGCCGCGTCTCTCACTCTTCTCCCTCGTTTCTCCGGAACGGAAATCGTTTCAGAGACGTGAACCTGTCCGACAAGGACTGAAACTCTCTCTCTCTCTCTCTCTCTCTGTCGTTCTCTCTCTCGCACACGAAACACCCCGACCAGAATCTACGGGAGTTAATCGACGGATAGGCGCGGTAAGATCAGCGGCGTGATCGAAGGGACACCGGGTATACGGCGAAAATAACGGGGGGTGGAAGGCGGCGCCGGCCGCACCCCGGCGTCGCGACGTCAGTCGTCGTTCCAGCGTGGCTCAACAAGTACACGCGGCGCTGAGTGACGCGGATTCAAATTTCGAAAAACCGTGACGCGGCTCGGTCGTACGGCTGCCTGAAAAATGCGTTAAACCCGCGGCGACGAGCGGAACAGAGTGCCGATCGCGAGAGCGAAGAAGCCGTAGGGTCCTCGCGTTATCCCCGGCGATTAATCAACAAGTCCACCTCAAGATCGGCAAGAAGTAAGTTCCTTCCTCCTTTCCTTCCTTCATATGTGGCTCCAGCTACCCCCGTCAGGGGCCTCGCCTAACGTCACTGTGCGGTCGACCGATAGATCGTTGATTATGATAGTTAGACGATTTAGTTAGAGATAAAATCGATTAAATCCGACGTATACACTGCCAAGGCGACTTGAAAGAATGAAAAAAAAGCTATGCGGTTCGCTAACGAACTCGGTAATGGGAGCACGTGCGTAAGCCCTGACCGGCGGCCAAAGAAAGCAAGAATTCAGTTGCGGGGTGATACACGTCGCGATTCTCTTCAAGTCTAATCTCGAGAGAAGAGGAAGGTTTCAATCGGAGGGGTGTACAGATCTCGAGTATCTCCGGGATTAATTGTTCCCCCGCCAGGAGGAAGGGACGCACGATGCGGTCCAAGGTGACGAACGAGGACACCTGGGAGAGCAAGTGGGCCGCGGAATCGCCGCCGAGAGGCAGAGGCGTGCGACGGGCGGCGAGGAGAACGGAGCCGTCGGGCCTGAAGTTGTCGAAGCCCGGGAGGAGGGACACGGCGCGGGAGAGAACCCTCAGGAGGCTGGAGAGCAATCAACGGGAGCGCATGAGGATGCACAGTCTGAACGATGCTTTCCAGGTATACACAGAGGACATTATTTTACTTTGCGTGTTCTCTCTCTCTCTCTCTCTCTCTCTTTCTCGGCGAGGGCACGATCGAAGACGTCGCGAAGACCACGCGTATCTCTCTGTATCCTCTCTCTTGCAGTCTCTGCGCGAGGTGATTCCGCATGTCACGAAGGAGAGACGGCTGTCGAAGATCGAGACGCTGACCTTGGCGAAGAATTACATAGTGGCCCTCACGGACGTGATATGTGCCATGACGAGCGTCTCCGAGGGCCGAGCCGGCTCGGACAACGAGCGATTGGAAGCCGTTCGCGTCGACATCGCCAACAGCAGAACCTGCGGATGCTCCGAGACCCCGAACTTCTATTCGCCGAGTGAGCATTCACGATGGGAGGACGATCGTAATAATTGCACGGGTCTCTGAAAAGTCCAAAACGGCATATTAATTAGGACAGGCCTCAACGAATTGAGATCTCTTCAACGAGCGGCATCTCCACCTTGTCTTCCTTCACTTAATCGTGCATGTCCTTACGTTCAGATCAGGTTATCTCTTTCGGCGCTTCCGTGCGAGGCTTCGTCGTTACCAACGACGTGTATCTCCGACTGACGTTGCGACCTAAGAGGATCCTCAATGTGTGCCAAAACGCAATCTAGTATTCGCGGTAACGAGCAAAGAAAAGAGTAATATATATATATATGTATATTAACACCAATTAATATATGAATATATATTATTTTATTTCGTGTAGGGGCGTAGATCTCAAAATTATGCGAGACGCAAAGAGAGAAGGGAAGAGAGAGACAGAGACAGATAATATAATTTTGAGAAACATGATTTTGCAGCACAAATGTTTTGCGTTGCGCGCGAAGTGATTTCCGAGAGTTGCATAGCTGATTTTCGTGTGCATTCGCGAGCAACATCATGAAACATTTATAAAATTTTATTAATTCGTCACACTCGTCATGTACCTGTGTATACCTGTGTATACCTGTTACTAAGGTTCACAAGAGCAAAAACGGGCTATATATATATAACTATATAATAAATAAAATATATTTACTATATATATATAGACACAATTATAATATATATATATATATATTATAATAAATATATATATTCAAAATAATAAATTTAATTATATATTTGAAGAATCTCCGAGCTTGATATCGATATTTTTTCCGCTCCTTGCGTGGAAATCGCGCGATAATCGCGCACTTGATTGCACAAGACGGTCTCTTACACGATAAATAATTACGTTAACGTTACCTTATATATACAAATATACAAATGCATAGATATACAAACGATGTCAGCCACTGCCGAATGAAATAGGCTGCGTCGTCAGGTCTTGTAAATCGACTAGCACCGCTGTTTTCGTCTCCGAGAATTTCGGCACGCATATCAACCTCACTGTTTGCCCCTCGTCACCTGTGCACACCCACGGTACGGCAGATCAGCTCGAAGTTTGACGATCAGACGGTAGATTGCGGATATATATATTTACCTTCGGCCAATTTCGAGTCGTGCGTGTCCATGTTTCCGGCGAAATATATGTCCGGGCATTCCGTCATGACGAACGGATCGCTCTTGAAGAACGGGTGAGCCGGCAACGTGTTCGGGCCGGTTGGAGCATAGTGCCTCCAAGTCAAGGTACGCTCCATCCAGCGCAACGGTTCGTCCGACTTCGTCACCGTCATGATATCCTCGATCGGCCTGCCACAGGAGCCGGCCACGACGCGACCGCCGATATCGCCGATCCAGGGATTAGTCACACCGTGCATGCTCTTGAACCTGCGTTACATCTGCTTGTTGTATTAAGCGAAAGAAGCTCGACGACGGTGTCTGCTACCTGGCCGATTTCTGCAGAGTACAGGGATGAAACGGTTGCTGGGGCATGCTGTAGTAGGAGGTCGGGTCGAATTGTCCCGGCATCAGTACGACGTAACAGCAATGGAGGATCTTGACGAGGAAAGAGTCCAGCTTCCGCATCGCCATTAGATCTTCCTTGATTTTACGTTGATCTTGAAACTTGGTCTCGTAATAGCCTTTGTAGTTGTGCAATCTCGTGGAACTCCGAATGCTGTTCCCTGAGCGGTCGAAGGATTCATTTGATTCGATGCTTTATCCAGCCACTGCGTGACTCCGTCAGATACAGGCTAGATCCTCACCGGCAATAATGACTTTAGCGACTACCGCTTCCTCTTCCTGCGCATTCGCGCATCCTGCCATCCCAGTTATCCATTCTGAAAGGAGATCCAAGCTAAGATCGTCGGTATTATTCACCAGATCCAAGCCGGACACTAGCAGAATTTTTCCACCTTCCAGAGATGAACCCATCAACGTGCAAGGTTTCGGGCAATATCCTGGAAAGCACCAATCTTCTACCTAAAATCAGTTCAGCTGGTTGAAATCTTGTCTGTAGAGAGAGATTAATTGCAATTAATGTAAAAAATGAATTTCCACAACTTTCTTCCAGTATCTTCATGAAATAAATGTCACAAATGAGTGAAATATAACGATATGTGACAAATTTCCTGGAATGAGGAAATCTATCTTCTACAAGAGTTACTTTGATCATTGAATGTATACCCAGAAAGCTCCAGTTTCTGTTTCATATCCAAATACTGCACATACAACTCCTGTGATTATTTCTTGCGCATCCATGTGATTCCCTACTAGTCTAACACATGATGTTTCATCCTCTAGAAAAATCTTGATACAGTTGGACATGTAACCGTCATTTAACAGAGCTTCCTGTTGTGGCTCGTTGTCAATATCTCGTAACAATGAAAGTTTTAGCTTTTCCTTTAGATCATCTTTATATAGTACACCTATCAAGATGTACGATTTTTCTCTATCCTCCACAGCCAAGCGTGAGATCTCTACGTATGGATGGTCCACTGCATATATGCAAAGTACAATAATATAGGAAACACCCGTCAAACAGAGATTTTTACACGTATCAATATGTGACTTACTCCATTTCAATTTGGCTTTGCGCAACGTGTCTTCCCTCAAATCGTTCAGCCTCGCGGTGTATATATTGAAAGAATTATCATCGTACCTTCTCTCGAGCAGTTTGAACCTGCCAAAGTCTTTGAAAGCGACAACTTTCCGTTTGTATTCGCGCAATTCGTCGCACTCCATCGTCACTACCGATTCGCAGAGATTGATTCGTCTCCGAAATATCCGAGAATCAATCGTTTCATAATTCAAGTAACCCAAGAAAAAGCCATCGTTAAAAAGAATTAAAAGCCGGCGAGTAGAAACGGACAATGTTCGATATTTTTTCTCAGGAGGATCATCATCTCCCGTATTTGGTAAACAGAGAGCAAAATTTGTCCGACCCGCTGTTTGGTTCCCACTAAAAAGATAAAAAACCCCTTCAGTGAGATTAGACCCGTTACGATAAGCCTTATCAGATTAGACCCTCTTATATTGATTCTAAAGTCTCCGCTATGAGTCGCTTCCGTCGTCAGTAAAAAATCGTAGTATAACTCCACGGCGAGTCGGCCGTAATTTGCAAATGATAAGACTCAACGACTGAGGTGTACGACACTCCCTCTCCCTCACCCCCTTTCTATCTTCAACGGCGAGAGAATTTATATGTCTGACCCCGCTGGTCTGTGGCAGGAGAAGGGTGGTTAGTAACGGAGGGTAGATCCCGTGAAACTTGTGTGGAACGTTGGGCTCTTACTCTTTTACCCTCGTTTTCTTTTTCTTACTCCCGAAGAAAATGATACCGAATTGTATCAGGAATGCGGTCGCGCAGTCGTCCCGACGAAACGTAAGTGGTACACCGACGATCCGCGGTGTAACATACATGTGACCTCTAACTCGCCGTACCGCGTCCCGTGACAGAATCTCGCGATGAATTTTCCGTTAGTTATTCGTAACTCGGCGCTACAACACGACATTTCACGAGTCTTCTCCTTCTTTCACTATGTCGCGTACTCGCCCCAGTTTGGAAGCTGGAACGAGGTAATTATCACTCGTGACTCGATAGCGTAGCACTCTTATAAGTAGTGCCGCTGCATCTTGCAATTTCACCCCAATTGCCTTCTCAATCGACGTATTTAACAAAAGCTGAAAATAATAAGAACTTTGAAAATGAAAGTATACCACTGAATCACGCAACATAACGTAAACGTTCACAATGTCGCATGTGTGTAGCGGTGTTACTCTGTTTCCATATCACAAGCTCATTGAGTCGCCGATGTTTTTAGGTGGCCTCGTTCTTCTCCAGCAAGAAGAATAACTATGCCACCGAGGCTTCCTTCGAGACCAAGCCATACCGTTGGCACAAACTGGACTCGGGCCCTTCCACTCACGTCAAGGTGACTAGGGACGACGCTATCGCACTGTTCAAACAACTACATATGATACGCCGTATGGAAACAGCTGCCGGTAATCTGTACAAGGAGAAGATCATCCGTGGCTTCTGTCATTTGTACTCTGGTCAAGTAAGAACTGTTTAGCATTCGATGTGCGTTCTTCTTCTCACGACTTATTCGCGTCTCTCCTACAGGAAGCTTGTGCGGTTGGTATGAAAGCTGCTATGAGACCCCAGGATTGTGTAATTACGGCTTATCGTGCACACGGGTGGACACATTTGATGGGCATAAACACATTTGGCGTAATGGCGGAGCTCACGGGTAGACAAGGTGGCAACGCCAGGGGCAAGGGTGGCTCCATGCATATGTATGCCGAGAACTTCTTTGGAGGAAACGGCATCGTTGGTGCTCAGGTCGGTATCGGGGACCTAGAATGAGGCGATACGATCTTTAATGACTGGGTCGTTATTATAGCATCGTCCTCACAAAGTAGGTGCCACTGGGAGTCGGGATCGCCTTTGCGCATAAGTATTTGAACACCGGCGGTGTCTGCCTGGCGTTGTACGGCGACGGTGCGGCCAATCAAGGCCAGGTGTTCGAAGTGTACAACATGGCGAAGCTTTGGGACGTACCCTGCATCTTCGTCTGCGAGAACAACGGCTACGGAATGGGTACCAGCGCGGACCGTGCCTCGGCCAACACAGACTACTATACTAGAGGCGATTACGTGCCTGGAATATGGGTACGCGTGCACGTTTGCACCTTCTGAGAAATCCGTCCCGGTGCTGGTAATTACGGTGAAATCTGCACAGGTGGACGGAATGGACGTGTTGGCCGTGAGGGAAGCCACGAGATTCGCGATCGATCATTGCACGTCCGGCAAGGGACCGATAATCATGGAAACCGTGACGTACAGGTACAGCGGACACAGTATGTCGGACCCGGGGACCAGCTATCGCACGCGAGAGGAGGTGCAGGAAGTCCGACAGACTCGGGACCCTCTCACCAGCTTCAAGGAGAGAATTCTTAACGCCAATCTCGTCACCGCCGATGAGATCAAGGTCGGTTCCTCGCGTCCTTCTCGATAAACGCTTCTCCGTGTGAAGAGTAACAATTAATTCGAGCTTGATATTTTATCGTTACTCGTTACTTTTCTGGTTGCAGACGATAGAGGGTGATATCAGAAAAACGGTGGACGACGCCGTGAAAGCCGCCAAAGCCGACAAGGAAATCCCCTTGAACGAACTCACTGCCGACATCTACTCGACGTGCCTGGAGAAGGAAATTCGCAACACGACTCCTTTCAATCCTTTAACGCACACCAGATTAGGGCCAGCTATAAACGCTTGAAAAATTGCTCAAACATCGTCTCATCACAAAGCATTATACATTTTGCAGTCACGGTGCCACCCTCTCCCTTCTCAGTGTCTTTAATGAGATAGATAGGTAGCTAGAGATCCACAGACCGGCGTAGAAAATTGTACATGCTTTACGTGCGACTCCTTAATTCCAGGATGTATGTTATTAGTTTTACTGAGAAGGAGCGGGTGGTCAACCGGACGGATTAACTTCGAGTAATTCTCGCGCATCAACGTCGAACCCGATGCTCTAACGCGTACGTTTTGTATCAGACCGTCTGCCAAAAGAGAGAAATCCTCGAGGATCAAGTGTATTTATTCCCAGCAAACCAGTTACCACGCAAGGATAGGTCCTGCACGATATAACGTGCGCCTAAGATCTGAGCCGTCTGTTAACGTGTTAATATAAAAGTAAATATATAAATAGTGTAAGAAAATGAAATAAAAAGAATATTTGTTAACAAATGCTCGTGAAAGATGAGAAAGTTCAACCTTGATTCTTGCCGCTTAACCCTTAACGCCCCAAGTGTGCCTCTCAAGCACCACCGATGTGAGGCGTTCTACTCCAAGTGTGCCTCTCAGGCACCACCGATGTGCGGCGCTCTACTCCAAGTGTGCCTTTCAAGCACCACCGATGTGCGGCGCTCTACTCCAAATGTATTTTTGGGTCGTTATCGGTAATTGTTTACAAATAAAAAATAATACTCCTCAGTGAGTTACAAGCGATCAGTAAAGAGAGTCAGATCTGAACCTGTTTTATTGTAAACCCATCTATTTTTCAATTATGTCGAGAAGAAAAATGAATTATCTTTGTAAGGAAAATATAGATAGTGACGATGACAATTTTGATTTTCGCATCTATAACGATGTAGCTGTTGACTTGGAAAGCAGTTATAGTGACAGCAGTGATAGTGATATTCTTGTTCCTGGAAGAAGAAGAAAAATAAGAAAACTTTCATCGAGTGACGAAAGTGCAGATGATGGAGAAGAAAATCACAGGAAGAAAATTTAACCGAGAGTATTTATAACGTAAGATCTTCTGATTGACAGGAAATTTTTAACTAAAATATCATTCCACAACGATTTGAATTTTCGACTGGTACAAAAACTCCTGGTCCGCAGGTACACAATTTATGTGAACCTATTCAGTACTTTCAATTATTTTTTACTAATGCGTTAATAAAAAACATTACGCTACAAATAAATTTATATGCAAAGCAGATTCTTAGAGATAGGATATTATCAAAATGCTCTATGTGGAATGACTGGTGTGGGGTTGAATTTGAAGAGATGAAAGCTTTTCTTGGCGTCATACTGAACATGGGTACAGTTTATGTGAGCCACATTCAAAATTATTGGTCAAAGGAATTTGAAACACGAATATCGTTCTTTAGCAAAATACTCAGCCAGAAGAGTTTCTTGCAAATTTTTGGGATGTTACACTTGAATGAGAATGCTTCAAAAGCTCAAGACATCAGAACGAGAGTTCAAAAAGTAAACGATTTCATCGAATACTTGGACGAGAAATTCCGAGAGTATTTTGTACCCGGAAAAGAAGTTTCTATAGATGAAGCTGTTGTAAAATTTAAGGGGAGGATTAGTTTTATAACCTATAATCCACAGAAACCTACTAAATGGGGAATACGGATATTTGTCCTGGTCGACGCAAAATCCGCATACGTTTATGGCATTTTACCATACTGTGGTAAACTCACATCGCAAGATCTTATAAAACCAGATCTGCCAGTATCATCACGAATAGTTTTACATCTGTGTAACAAATTGTTACATTCCGTTCCTGGCTGTGCGGGATATCATGTTTACACAGATAGATACTATACAAGTTTAACCCTGGCAGAGGAATTGTTACAAATGAAATGCCACATAACAGGTACAATATAAAGAAATTGCAAACACCACAAGGAATTTCTAATCCGAAATTTATCAATTCAAATACAATTGCAATACGCCATTCAAATTACTTACTCCTTGCTTGTTGAGCACGTATCACACCTTCGGGTCAAGAGTCATAACTAGATTTTCACGAAATTATACTATTGAAGAAGTTTCAAAACCAATTGCTGATTATACGAGTAATATGGGTGGTGTAGATAAAGCCGATCAATATGCATCAACATATTGTTTCCTGAGAAAATCGTTGAAATGGTGGAAATTGTTCCTTTTGGGGACTAGAAACAAGCGTAATAAATGCTTATATACTTTACAAGATTTCTCAGGAAAGGAAAGGAGAAAGCGCTTTGTCACACTAGAAGTTTGTCAAATTATTAGGAAGTCAGCTCGTAAGTAACTTTCGGAATAACAATGCGTATGGCAGGCCTTCCGGAATAGATAAGGAACAACGTTTAGATGGGAAACTCCATATAATAAATCAGTTGCCGAAAGGGAAAAAGAAAAAGTGTCTTGTTTGTTCACCAAAAGGAAGTAATGCGGTAAAAAAACAATCGGTTTTCTACTGTGAGACCCGTGAACGCAAACCCGGTTTGCATCCCGATGAATGTTCTAAAAAATTCCACACATTACTCAATTATAATTAATATAAATATTGTAGTCAGAATTATATTACTTCTGAGATGAATAAAGATTGTTTTGAATGACTTTAATATTATTATTTACACGTCATTGTAGCATTTAAAATCTTACACTTAAAAACTTGCAAGTCGAAGTATGATGAGAATAAGTTGGAGTTGCCGGTCGATATTCACAATTAAGAGTCGGAACGTTAAGGGTTAATTCTCATCATGTATCTGTGATGCATTTCGATTTCGCCACGTTCGAACTTGCGATAGTCGAGATCGAAAGAAAGAAGGGGTCGATCGATCGATGGAACGCCGATCATATCGCACAGCGGCGACAGGATTTAAAAGGACGTTGGGAACAAGCCTTTAACTGAGCTTCTGGAGCCATCTATTGAAAGAAGGAAGGAAGGACAGCGGCGACAGTGCGGTACTCGGCTAACCAACGACACGCACAAAGTTCGGAGTCGGATAATTCCAACGAATATGGCACGAATCGTCGCCGTGAAGGAATGCCTCGAGAAAGCACTGAGGGATGAGAGCAAGCCGTGGACGAAGGTATTCGCCCAGGCGGAAGAGAAGACCGGCGTCGATCGGCTGTATATCTTTCTTGGTGAGTCAGACGGAACGGTCGCGCGTATTTCCGAGTCATTCTTATCGATTACACGGACGCCGCATACATTTAGATAATAATTAATCGCGCCGATGTTGATGCAATCCGTCTGCTCGTTATCGCTCGTTATGCAATCGTGCGTAGCTCCTCTTTCCGTTACTCTCTTTGTTCTCTCTCTCTCTCTCTCTCTCTCTATATATATATATATATATACACATATATATATATATATATATCTTTCCCTCTTTCTTTCTCTCTTTCGCTCGCTCCCTTTTTCTGTCTCTCTTCTCGGACAAATGTATATCCGCCTCTTTCCGGAAAATCTGCAACCTGTTGATCTTTGTTCGGATTTAATCAAACGAGAGAACATCACTACTTCAAAAGCTCCGCCCTCTGCATTTTGCATGTTCACGATCGGATTCCCGCGAATGATGCAATATTCATTACTCGATCAATGATGCAAATGTCAGAGACCGTAATTTTTTTTCTCCTCCCATTTTTGTAGGATCATTAACACTGCTGGCTGTGTATTTAGTATTTGGACTGGGACAGCAGTTGGTATGCAACATAATCGGTTTTGTGTATCCTGCTTACGAATCCATGAAGGCGCTGGAAACTTCCAAGAAGGAGGACGATACAAAGTGGCTCACTTATTGGGTCGTTTTTGCCGTATTTACTATAATAGAATTTTTCTCAGAGTATATTGTCTGTTGGTTCCCAGTCTATTGGCTGTTCAAGGTATGATTTTAGAGATATTGCCTTTGGAGGTACAGACACTACCAAGAGTTAAGCTCGTAAATCACAGAGAATTTGTTCCAGTGCATATTTTATGTGTGGTTGATGGCACCGACTGAGTACAATGGTTCTTTGATTCTGTACCGGCGTATCATCCGTCCCAAGTTCTTGCAGTATCAACCTGGACTAGACAGATTTTTGTCTAATGCGCGTGACACAGGTAAGACAACTAGAGCATGGAAGACTCAAGAGTGATGCCTGAATATGCATAACTGGAAAAGTAAAATTGCGTTCTCATTGCAGCAGTCAAAACTGCAGCAGAAGCATTATTGACCAACAAGCAAGATTAACAAGATTACAAGTCACACTAACAGGAATTAGAAAGTCCAATTGTCTTTCCTTCTATGTCTTGATCCTAACAGGAAGAATTGTGAACTTTGTGCTTTTCTGAATATTTCTAAGTGTCCTACATTTTAAATGGTATAATAAAAAATACCGGGCAAAAAATTGTAAGTATACACACACACACACACACACACACCCGCGCACAAGATTGATGATTGTTAAAGTTGCTAGGAAAAACTGGTTGAGTAAAATTTCATGTTAATATAGTGAACACTATGTGAACACTATGAGACACATGAACGAAAGGAAAAAAAAAATATCTCCCTCTGAAAGAATAAATCGTTTGCAAAGCTGGTGTGATAGTCTGATTATAGAATTAGGATTGTTAGGCAGGTCCGGCACAGCACGGAAATATGCGTTTTGTTTCCAGTTGCTCAACTGAAAGCAGAAGTGTTTGAAGTGTTTTTGTATTATAGGATAGGAATGTCGCGTGTGTCTCCGCCATCCTTATACGTAGCGATTGTTAATACCTATATACTAGTGTATCTTTACGTAAGGTCCTCACCAACATCGATTAAACATTTAAATTTTTAAATTAAATTTTAAATTAAAATTAAATTTTAATTTAAATTAAATTTTGAACTGAATGATCATTTGTGGACGTCAGTGATTTCTCGACGCTGCATATTCTAAATCGTTCCTGTTATCAATCTGATAAGATCGACGTTGGTGGAGCCCAATCTTTAGTATGCCTTATGTAAGTTTTTAGACATGACTGTTAAGGAGAGGCATTTAATCATTGGGAAATTTTAGAAATTCCAATTCGTATGATGTGTGAGAAATGACATACGAGACTCAGGTAAATTTCTTATTATTGTTGCCACCTAATCATGTGCGCGATATCTCGTCTATATAATATATACGACTTTTTCCAAAAGCATTCAGGGAAGCGAGCCTCCTTAGCTAGTTCATGAGCCGCCAAAATGCGATGAGAGGATGGACTGTTGGTGTATCCTCAATTATCCGCGATTAGTTTAACTTTCTACGTCCCACGTGTGAGAACTTGCATCGTATTTGCATGCGACCGTCGTCTGTTCTTCGTTTAAAGTATTCTACGTTACATTCTTCGTTATTAAAGTATAGACGCACCCTAAGATATGTGTTGCTCAAGTTAAGACTTTGTATCGACGTTGAGTAACTTAACTATCGGTAGTTGTGTATCCGATAATATCAACGTCCCAAGTGCGGATCGAATATCCGACTCTTTCGCGACCTCGAGACCAAATTTTCCCAAACTTTCCCCTCGATTGCACTAAAAAAGATTTACTTCGTTTCAACTACGCGCTCAATGTTGCGACTCTCGCCGGGTTTACGGGTTTTATGCGGAAATGTAAATTTAAATATATATCGACGATGATTGTAAATTGGTGAATTGAGGAATGTGCACGAATAAATAACTTTTTATTTTATACGCTCCTTCTCTCTTCTCTTTCCCCATTCTGCTTCTTTCATTGTCGCAATTCGATTCACAGACGGAAATCGGTTTCCTGCAGCGTGCTCCTGTGGAAAACCGCACTGAGATAATTAAACGATAATTAAAGTCTCACTAAGTAGTACAAGCGGTAATTTAATTTGAGGAGCGCAAATGAATAATGCAACATAATCGTGTAACGCGGAGTTTCAATGTGCAGATTGTAATGAAATCAATATATGCATACACACACACACATAATTCCTTCCTTTTATAAATTATTCTGTCAAACGGAAATTATTATCTTTACTTACTTTTCGAAACACGTACTTGCAAATAAAGAAATAATTTAACGGTTCGACAAATTTAAAATAAAGATCGCCGGTTGTGCTCTTTAAATTCCAAGCGTGAAAAGTGTAAGAAGATTACGTTTCGTTGAAGTGGAATTTTTCCGCTGTCAATGCGAGCTTCCTTATGTGACGTATAGTGGACGCAGCTGCGATCTGCACCTCCGGATCGTCCGAACCCACCAGACGCAGAACGTGCTGTTTCAAAAATTCACCGAGACATAAAAATTCTCAAGTGTTCGATCAAAAGTTCCAATACAGGTGATAAAACACAAAGAATGCTTCCGACGATTTATCATTTCGTCGTCTTCATCAATCGAATCGTTCGTGACGTTAAAAAGCGTCTTTGCGAGGATTTTCGTATGAACTTTCCATATTTTCGCGAAGTAACTCTCAGGATTAGCCAAAAACTCGTTTCTGCAGAGCCGCGCCTTTTCAACATCGAGCGACACGATTCCCGCCTCGCGTATGCGAGGAACCTAAAGGCTTTACGAGCGTACCTTGATAACGCCGCAGGTGTGCATAGTTACGCAATTCAGGGGCTCCTTGCTCAAATGGTAAACGGCGATGCAGACGCCCTTCAACACACTCTTGTTCTTGCTGGTCATGTAATTAACGAGCGGCGCGACGGCGTTAAGCTTGCCGAACTCGTAGCTGTTCCGATCCCACTCGCAGCAGTAGGCTATCGCTAACGTCAGGTTCGCCCGTAGACTTTCGTCGTCCTTGACAAAAGACAGAGACACATGCAGGACTAGCAAAGAGCGAGTAGTTACTGCTAACCGTAAGAAGAAAAACAAAGATAAAGCAATACATTCCGATAGGTAGAGCTTTGTTCATAAGTGCGTTTCACTTATGAACTTCGTTGAATATACAGAAGGAAAAACTCGGTTCCTGCAAGTGAATAGGAACCGGACGAAGACTCGGCGAAAAGTGATATCTCTGTTTCTCGGGGGAAACCTCCTACAGGAATTTTTCGGTTCCTACGACCGAGTTTTCGTCCGGTCTCTTCGAGCGAACGGAGAATTCAGTTACACTAACGGAATTGTTTTTTCCGCGCACGGCAGAAAAGAACAACTCGGTTCCTTACAACAGAATAGCGGCCTGATAAAAATTCCGTGTTTTTTTCCGTGTAGGAAGGTTAAAATATTAATTAGGAAATTGAGTGTTAACCCAGATAGCACAGGAATATTCTATGAATGTTTTGCGAATATTCGTTACGAATATTTGCATATTCATAGAATGCAAACATTGTTACATGTTCATGGTATGTTCTTAGTATATTTGAATGGCGCTACTGTAAATATTCTATGAATGTGCATAGAATATTTTATCAAATGTTATAGGTAGTCAACACCGAGCATCAGTTATATCACATCTATGTTATAATTTCTCACTCAACAATGTAAGCATTATATAACGCTCAGCGTTATAAAACATTTACATTGTTGAGAGCGAAATTATAACATGAATGTAATATAACTGATGCTCGGTGTTGACTGGACAGGTGTGTGGAGAGCTGGAACTACTGGAACTAAAAAACACACGAGAGCAGTGTCACATGCAAATCTCAGTTTCCAATTAAATACGTATGTCACGGTATATATGAATATACAAGATTATCTACTTTTTAGTTAGATCAGTGCACACGCGCAGTAAACAAACTATCTGAATATTCCGAAAACGTTCTTTTTATGAACACACAATCTCTGCTCAGAATATCCCAAATATTCATGTTCATCGAATATTCAATTCGAATATTCTGCAATTACGAACATATTCGTATTTCACGAGAATTCACGAGATTCATCGAATATCTCGTGCCGCCTGTGCAAGTTAATTGTAGTGTAGTATTCACGGTTTCCACGAGGGCGGCTAATTTCTTCACGACGCCGTGATCCGTCAAGATCCCCAGGTTCTCAGGATCGGCGGCGATCTCGGCGATCATGGCGCAGACCGCGCTGAGCACCCCCGTGTTCGCGCTCTGCAGCAGACTGACGGTGAGCTCCAAGCCGCCCACGAAGGCGCGCACCATCTCCGGCGAGTCCTTGGAGTGCTTGATGCAGGGCACCAGAGCGAGACAGGCGTTTCGCTTGATCGCATCGCTGGGGTGCTTCAAGAGAGACCAGACCAATCGCACACCGTCCAGTCGGTGCTGCGGGTCGTTGATGATGTCCATACACATCTCGTCAACGGCGCACTCTTTCAGCACCAGCGGCACGTTCTCCAGTAATGGCTCGTACGTGGCGCTCAACAGCCTGATCTGCAAAAATTCCCAACTGTCCCGCTATCCTATGATATAACAATCGACTACGGAAGGAGAAGTATGTACATCGAATACATTGTAATGTAACTCGATTAATCATCGGGGTCTCATTCGGGAATTACGTCTCGCGCAAATTCACGTGATATGGCCGAGCCAATATCGATAGGACGATGAAATTTTCAAGGTAATATTAACAATCGTTACGGAATCGTCAGGAGACACGACGAGATTTCGTTCGACAATTGTTTGAGAGAGTCATTAGAGACTCGCGATTATTGACTTTATTACTCGGACGTAACGTCCCCGTTGGACGCCGGCGAGTGGTAATCTTTTTAAGGGACTTTTAATTGATCTCTTTCCCTCCGGGTATTCCGCGACATTCCCGCTCATTCCGCGTTGGCGTAAACACGCGGAATTATCGTCTCGCGGATTGAAGGACCGAAGTTTCGTTCCACCGCGAGGGAAGTATAGGGACGTGGGGGGAGGGGGGTGCGCTCTTCCGGTGCGAACGGCTGATCTTTACCAGTTTCGGCAGGCCTTCGTTAGCCCTCAAGACGTTCCTGTTAGCGGGATCTTTACAGCACTCGGCGAGGGCGCCCACGACGTTGGTCAACACTCGCTCGTCCTCGTTCTCCTCGAGAAGTGGCACCAGCGACGCTACCAGGTCGTTTTGATTGAATCTCGCCACGTTCTCCGGGCTGATGGCACACTTCCAAACGGCGCCGGTCACCGCAGCCAGTAGGTGTTTATTGGCGCGTACCATGTCGCTCTGCACGAGCCGACACAGCGGGTCCAGGCCGCCGGCTTTGCGCACCCTGCTGCGGGTCTCCTGGTTCGAGGCGCACTTGAAGATCGCCAGGGCGCAGTTCTCCTTGAGCTTAACGTTGTCGTTCTTCAAGTGGCGCACCAGCTCGTTGATGATGCCGACCCGCTCGAACTCCTCCCTGAAGACGTTCTGCGAACACGCGAGCGGATTAGCAAAATGCGCGCGTAAAACATGTGTAAAACACACACAACGAAGAATACGCGAGTCAGATTATCGAGATGTACGATTCTTACTTGAAAGAGGCCGATAAGAGTCAGCTCTGGTAAGTAATCCCCAGTAGCACAATTCATTGAGCGAGTATTGGCCATAAATTCGACCCCGATATTGATTCACGTTTGTAAAGTAGTTGGCGAAGCTTGCCTTACGTAGTTTGACAGCAAACCGGCAGTAGAAACCGAGCAGGATCTGCAGTATATTCCAAATACGTTTAAATGGATTATAAAACGACAGATCCTGTTATATTTCTACTAACAAGCTGTTTAGCAATTTGTAGCAGATACTGCACAAAACCTGCTTCAGCAGGTTTGGCTATCCGGGTGGCTTTATATCGGGTAACATTCGCCCAATTGCCCATGAATGCCAATATAACCAATGTTGAGCCAATGTAGCCTGATGGAAGTATTTTGCTGAAATATTCTCTCAATTGACCCCATTTCGTTAATGCACGCAGCTTTAATTCGATAAATTTCATGACATCTAATATTTCAAAAGTTCTTTTATTCTCAGAATTATACTTTAATTTTCATTATATTTCACAGCATTACATTGAATTCCATGATGAAAATTATTCTGATTTATTTTGAAATATTTATTATTATACATTTCAGTTGTTTTTCAGTAACTTTCATCTCATTGTTCATCAAATTTACAGTATATCAGTACTCGAATATAAGAAAGTTAAAGTACTCTTGAAATTTACCGAATTTAATTAAAAACTGCGTACATTGACGGAATGACAGTGAAATGGGATCAATTGAGAGAGAATCGAAAATTTTCTGCATGATATTTCCATCGGGGTATCGCCAATGAATTGTGCTACTAGTGCTAGGGTTGTGAGAAATTATCAGACTTAAAAAATCGACAAATCCAGACGCATGTTTACGCGTAAAATTACAATAAAATGTCTATATTATCTCTCTATCCGTTAACAAACAAAGTTTGTAAGGTAAACCAGATCAGCGCACTGCTGCACGATGCCCATCGTGGGTACGATCAGTTGGGTGTGCCTGGATCTTATAAAGCGCGACATCAGGCGAACGACGCCGTGCTTGCGTAGCTCTTCTTTGATCTTTGGACTGCTGCCGAGGGAGTCCAGAACTTTGGCGCAGCCTATGGCGACCGCCACCAGCTCCTTGTTGGCCTCGTTCAATTCGTCGTACGGTCGACGGAGAACTTCGTCCGGCACATCCATCACGTCCAGCTGTCGAATAAAATTTCCGTAACTCGTGACACCCCGGCTCTTTTAAATTTTCTCACATCTTCCGCGTAATGAAAAACAGATCACTCACTATGAGCGGTATTCCACTACGAATCCGAATCTGTTTCCTGGCTTTCCTTATTTGAGCTATAATTGCCATCGTTTCGGCCGCTAAAACCTGGAAGCAAACCGAATTATCTTATAATTAGATTAACTATCCCGTAATGTGTTAACATTGGATATCATACGACAGCGGTCAAAGATATGGAATTTAATATTATGACATATTCAAGTGATGGATCAGTTAATTAATCTGTAGGCTAACTCGTGGATCGACAATTAATGAACGTATCGAAGATTCATTAAGCATGAATGATCATGGGTTAATGAACGACCTGAATATCTCTGGCGGGATGTTTCAACATCTGAATTAATGGCGTTGCGATGTCCAAGTCGATCAGATGTCGCTTCATTTCTGTAGAAGTCGCAATTTGCAACAAAACCGAGAGTGAACCATTTTGACATTTGATGTCCTTCGTTTCGAGAAGGTTCACCAAAACCTCGAGACCACCCATTCCCTGAATAGCCTTCTGTATATCCTGTATTATCACGAACAAATTTAATCGGACGAGGTCAAAAGTTTATTTAATAATTTTTATTTATTTATTATTTATTTATTTATTAGCGAGAAACGCATCCCTTTAGTGCAAAGCACAAAGTAAGATGTGATATACTGGTGCAGAAAATTTATACGATTATGTGTATACATTTTTATTAGCAACATAAATATAAAAATAAAAATATAAAAATAAAAGTAAGAAGTGAGAGAACGCAGGCAGAATATAGTCATTCAAATAGTTGAGCGATCGTCGCCGCAGTAATACACTTAAGAGAATCCGTTGACCTCGTACAAAAAAACCCCAACCGTAATTTGGGGCATAAATAATTAGTTATTCTAATAATAAGCAGGGTTTTTGGAGTGTGACCTAAATATGTGAGGTCGGTAAAAAAGGACATCACGAAACGATCTAGGACGGGCATTAATTCACCGAAGCGAATAAATATGAGCGATATTACCTCTAATTAAGTTATACAAAGTGGTTTAAATGTTCGCAAACAGCTAATTATCTCCGAAATAATTGGTTTTATGAAAAAAATACCTGAGATAAAATTTGTAGTGTTAAAAAAATTATATTAAATAGCAATATCTTTGTGCCTTGAATTACCTTGGAATGACCCTTGGAGTAACCGTTAAGATGACCTTAAAAAATTTACATAGTTACTTCTACATTTTTTATTATGATGATGATCATTCCAATTGATAGATATATTGATGGATAGTATAATTGTTTGAATACTTCAAGTTTTGTCTCAAACATTTTTCCATAAAACCAATTATGTCAGAGATAACTAGTCATTTCTGGACTTTTAAATCATCTAGTATAAAAACGTAGCATGTCATCGCCTAACAATAAATTGTTCCAAATTAAAGAAGCATGATACGTATAGTTAATGAGGAACATGACGTACTTTGTTTGTGAGATCGTAATCCTTTAGAAGGCACAAAGACACCATGGTAGCGGTCTGATTGCCAGCCTTCATATATTTGATGAGCTTTTGTATGTGCCAGAACTCAGAAGGTACATCCGGCTGGTCCCTTTGAAGATACCTGTCTTCTTCTTCGCTCTCGGACTCTAGCTCGTCATCCGAACTCTCTTCTTCGGCTTGTTCGCTGACAAGACGCACTCGAGGACCATATGGTTCTCCAGTCACCAATGTTTTCGGCTTCGTAATTTCGGGTTCGATCGTCTCCACAATTTTCGGCTCCGATCTGTGAAAATCGATTCGAATGTTTATTTTAAGAATATTTGTTATCGTATTGTCAATAAGACGAAAATATGTTTGTCACAATGAAGATCGAGGAGGTTGTCGCGTAATTAAGACTCACTCAACGGGATCCAGTTCCAGCGTCACGGTGTTTGTTTTCTTTTTTGGGGGCATTTTTAACAGCGAGCATTAAATTTCTTTTACTCGAACAATAACGGGAAGGAATCTTCCTAAAGAGAGAACTCTTTGTTTTTGACAGTCGGGGTGCCTCTGACAGTTTCCGCGCTGGAATAGCGTATTATCGATCAAACAATTACCGCCAATCTCGCTCGGAATCGTACGGTTCTTCCGAAATAACGAAACTCTGACGCTTATTATAAAAAGAAAGAGGTGCTGATGACATTTCCGATAATATGCGCCCTTTTATTTTTTACGCTGTTGTCTCTGAAGTGCACTAGTCTCGAACCTGTCAAAGATTTCTTCTTGACGTGCGAAATTCCTCCGCAAAATTTCGAGTTATTTTCAAAAAAACCCAGCGGAAACTTGTCAATGTGTTGCGAAAATTACACGTAAGAAACATCACGCATATTTTTATTCGTGATCAATAGTTTCGAGGAGAAAAGAGAGAGAGAGAATAGTGAATCAAATGAAACGTAAACAAAATTCCGAATAATAGATCGAACGATCTCGAGCTCAATGAGACGAATAAAACGGTATTGCGTTTCGTGGAAATATGCACGTGACGTCAAGGAAACCGGAGAATATATGAGAGGTCATACGACATGAACAAATGTTTGTCGTACACGTATATGCTTCTCCGTTCGCCGTTACTTTGCTCTTGATGTCATTGAGTGTGTGGCTTTGCATATGTCGATGGGGATTCGGTTACAACCTGAAAGACCAAGAAGTAATTCATGCGCAGATATTTCCATGTATCTCGATTTTCTCATCAAAATCTTTGAGACGTGTGACTCGAATGGAGAAATATCTCAAAAATATATTCTTATTTCCTTTCAGGTTGTTCATTGTCTGGTGATTTACTTTATTACCATCACACTTTTAAACGTGCTTTTCTTAGGACACATACGATTCTTCTGTGAATATCCGCCGGAAATGAATAATTAGGTATCATTTTACATGTATCGAAAATAAGTGTTTAATCTATCATTTTCTTAAGTTTTAAGTTCATTATCTTTTATAGGTTTTCCTATATTATAAGCTGTTTTTTCTTATCTTTGTGTTTTCTAAGTATATATATTTGATATATCAATAAGATTAAAAAAATAAGTTACAAAAACCTTGTGTATTAAAAAAAAGCTTGTAATGATAAATTACAAAATTCAAATTTTCCGTAACATTTACAATCCTTATTCATTTATCATTCCAAGCTTTGGAATTTATGTTAATTTGCAACCGCTAGATGGCAGTACTTATATCGCTTCGCGCCGTAGAGCATATTCGGTTGCTGTAGATGGCAACACTTTCATCGCTTTGCGTCGAAAGAAAGATTTGGTTGCATCCTGAGTCTCGAATGCAAGGTATGTCATTTTACGAACGAATCAATTATTCGTCGCGGTGTCTGTCACTCAGAAGAAAATTATTTGCTTCGTGAATATGTGAAGAGTGTAACGTAATTATCGGAATCATTGAGAATAATACGAGTAAGGTTGGTAGTTCGCTACCTAACCTACAAGTGAAATCTTTTTCGTAATAATGTGCATTAATAACATTAATAATATTCAAATATATATTATTGATTAATTTTAATATTATTAAAATGAACGACACATCCACTTTAAATTCATAAATATGCAATGTGACGTTGTATTTATTTTCGTAGCATTATATTAGCGTTAATAAATATGTATTTCAAGTATTTTTGCACGATCGCGCGACATTTACGCAAATAAACTTTAAATTAGAACGAATCGTATGATTTTATATGAAAAAGGATTACAAAATCCATGAATACAGTTGTTTTTGACATTCTTTCTCAGATGAGTGCTGCGAGGCATGCTAGGTTCATCAGCCGTACCATCCTTGTACAGAACAACGATGTGGATAAGGCATGCCGCATATTAAACCGAATATTGTCCAAGGAAGACATCTTTGGCCAGTATAGGCGTACCAGGTATTACGAGAAGCCGACTTATGTCAGGCGCAGGATCAATTATGAGAAGTGCAAAGCGATCTACAACGAGGACATGGCTAGAAAGGTCCAGTTTCTTCTGCGAAAGAATAGAGTCGACCCTCATCCTGGTGCATCATAAGATTATAGATTCCATTTTCAGTTGTACAATAATATAAAACTATCGGAAAGAACCGTGATTTATAGTCTATTCAGAGATATCAACATCAGAAATATAGAAGTTACACTGTCACACGCTGTTAATGCTGGTTATTTCAATCGTTCTAGTTTCATACTTACATATACTGATGTATAAACTGACTTAAGCGACACAGATTTATCCGCTCTTCTTTTTAAATAGAATTACCGTTTTCATATTCATTGGCATAATGAATGTTCATGTTTGTCCTGACTTCCACTCTGTTCCTAAAAAACTGGAAAATCGGAATACATCATTATGTGTATGTGAACATAAATATAAAGTACACAGCTCGCTTTGGACGACCTTTAATATATAATACAATATCGGAAATTACATTTGTGACAAAGTATCCCTCCCCGCCAAGCGATCAAAATTATATTGCAGATATATGCATAAACACGTATATACCTATAAGATAACGGACTTTCGCCCGGAATACCGTCGTAATTTATAGATCGTCCAATGCGAGAGACAGATGTATCCTCTGCGCGTATCAAGGTGCAAAAATAAAGTTTCTTCTCGCGCTGAGAGACCAGCAATGAGTATCGCGCGCGAATGCGCGCGTTGATAGATCAACGGCGGGCATACGTTTTAAACGCTAATACAGCGCCGCGGAACGAAATGAAAAATCGCCCCGGCGGACAGGAACGCATTCCGCCGCTATCTCGCGCCATAAGTAACTCAAGGAAGTCCACACGCGGGAAAGCGAGCGTCCCTTCTCCCTTTCTTTTTTTTTTCTTTCCACTCTCTTTCCGTAAGCGACTTCCATCATCTTTCTTTCGCGAGAGAGAAAGAGAGAGAGGCGAGAAAAGACAAAACGTCCGGCCGACCGACCGGCCGGCCGGCTTTCTTGGCAACGACTCCGCCAACTTTGCGAAAATTGAATAGATAGCGGTGCCGGTCATGCCAAGTTTTCGAACGGGAATTGTCGAGGGAAGAAGAGGATAAGTTAGTGAAGGGAGAGCGAGAGAAAGAGAGAGAGAGAGAGAGAGAGAGAGAGAGAGAGAGAGAGAGAAAGGCAGCCAGAGAGGATCGCACGCGGTCTCTTCTGTATCCGTCGTTTGGCGATAACGCGAGAACGTCGACGACGTGGTATTAGAGTAGGATAAGCAGTTCTGGCCGGTGCTCGCGACTCGATTTTCGAAATCGTTCCCACAGCGGAAAACGTTTGGCGAAATGTCCGCTGGAACGTTAGCACGAAGCAGGAAACAAGATCCCGTGTACGTTACCGTATATACGTTCTATACGTTATACTCGTTTATATGCAGCGTCGCGCCGGCTTGCGCACGGATATTTGGTATCTAACTTTCGAGGGTTGTATCGTTAAATCGGCTCTTGAATTAACGCCGGGATCGCGCGAGGGTTCGTTCGTCTCCTCGCCTCCCTTCCCCCCTTCCTCCTCGTCATAATCGTCTCGGCGCGCGGTCTGTACGCGCGGCATTAGCGATTATACGAACGATCGCACCTCTGTATCGTTATTCCCAGATTTTCCATATTCCCCCGGATCTTCGCCTCCCTTTCTTTTTACCCGTTTTTCCCTCTCGCGTGATCTCTTTCCTCTGTTCCATTAATTTTTCGATATTGCACGTACGATCGCAACAGCTCGAGAGTGCGATTCAATTAATAAGTAGCCATTACGAGGGAAAGAATGCCATAAACGGATGATTTATCGAAAAGCTCCGCGCCGTGTGGAAACACCTCGTAAAAGATGCGGATATTTCTCTTATCGGTCGCACATATGCCCGAAAGGGTTGAAACCGGCATAAATTCCGGCAAGTCGACGACCAGGGGGACCGGGAAGCTCCTCAATGCGCTCGACAAGTCGTGTAATCCGCGATTTATTCGACCTCGGCTGTCATAAATTCGACGGTGCGTTATTCCCGTAACTAGGAGTAGCAAACGGATCTCATTTCAGCCGTCGGGGTAATGCCGAGGAGAGAACGGAGAGAGCCGTTCGTCGTCCTCGCCGTCTTCGTCGTCGTCGTCGTCGTCTCGCTTGAGAAGGCGGTTTGGCTTAACTCCCGGGGAATCTGGATCCGAAACTATCCTACGAACTACTCGCAAGACAGTTTGCCCAGAACCGGATTTCTCAGTCCCTGGGGATGCCACCCTTCGTCCCCCTACTCCCCCTCCTGTGGCCCGTTCGCCCTCCTCCTCCCACCCCCGACCATTTCGATTTGAAACTCCACCGCGTGTGCCTTCGCCGGCCGAATGACACGATGGCTCCATTATTGCGCGAGTGCTTTGGAGTATTACGTTATGTGGCGGAGATCGGATTTCAAGTATGCCGTCGTCGAAACTGTCATCGAAATAGGACGAACGTGTTGCGTAGCTCGGCCGTGGAAAGTGCGGATCAGCTATAGCGCGGATTTACAGCCGGGCGAGTCAATGCGCGACCTCTCTTTACTCGCCAACGATTTAGATTCCCCCCGCTCGAATTCCCAGAGCGTTTGAATATATCCTCGTGAAATTTTATATTTTTTTCTCGTTCGAATTGATTTCCCGTCATGCAAGATGCACAGTGCGCGCTTCTCGAATCCGTCGAGGGACACGGCCCGCATTTATTTCCGGATCCGGCTAATTCATTTTAGACGAAATTCCTCCTCTCTTTCTTTTCCTAATTTTTCACCAAGGACTCTCGATTGTTATTTCAGGACCAGTTGATTCTGAATTCGCGGAAGAATATTCTTTTTCTAGTTTCCCATTGAGAATTCTCGATCATTATTTAAGTACCTAAATTCACGGAGGAATATACAGGTAATATCACCGATCTCTCTCTCTCTCTCTCTCTTTCTCTCTGTGTTTTCTGTGTTACCGTGTACCTACGTCGGATATCGATAAAAGTGCAGGAACGGGAGAATTGTAAAATTTTTATTTAAACATTGTTCCGATGTTCGCCGGGCTTATCAAAATATTTGAAGCGTAGCGGAATTATGTCGGCTGTCTTTAAAGATAGACTAGTGGATCACGTTTTCCCGCGGGACAGATGCGTCTAAATTCACATCCCGCGATTCTTCCCAATGTTCGCCAAGTTTCAGCCGCATTGAAAATTTCGGATTTAAGAGTTCGCCTTGTCAGAGTCCGCGGGCGAACTGTGCTTTCCGAACTTTATTCCCGGCGATACCGACTTATCCTCTCGCTTTGTAGATCAATTCGCGACTACCTCTTGAATTTGATTACCATTCAAAAGAGGAGGTTATTTGTTCGAAATAACACTGGAGATTTGAGAAGTGGGTTTAAGCGAAAAGTAAGTGACATTTGCCTCACTTATAATATAAAGTTTATTTTAGACGATCTGTAATCCTCTCTTGTAATTCGATTCATAATCTGTAATTCGTCTGAGGATTTGGAGCAGAATTCTATTTATTGAATATTTAAAGAATCAAAATTATAATATAGAATAAAATCGATCAGTTGGATGAAATCTATTTCTTAAAATGATTTTTATATTTTATTTTATGTAGGATCACGAATATATAGAATTCTGTATTTTGTCTCGATCGTTTTTCCACCTCTGATAGATTCTTATATCTAGTATAATATCGCAATCACATCAAATATGACTACCTCTCCGGAGATAGATTTATTAAAATCAGAAGAAAACGATCCAATTTTAAAGGGAAACGCGAATGTGACACACGTCAATCATGTGACGAGATTTCTCTTTCCCTTGTGGAATTTTGTAGTGAATGCTCAATCATAGTAATGTTTGCTGTATCGTTTGTCGACGATGTTGGGATTGAAAAAGAAAAATTGGACGTAACGAAACCTACATATATATATATGTGTCAATATCTATGAAAAGGTTAATCGTCAAAGCGAGTATTTTCAACGGTTATCTATATCACAATAAATAAAATGATACGGGATCTGTTCGCCTTGCTTTCTCGCAGTTATAACTCTATTAAGCGGGCTGTCTATCTTAGCGAAACCGAGGGACTTATCCGTCAAAATCTCACCGCTCCTCCTGCACCGAGGATTAATCGCCTTTTAGCGAGGCACCTACGGCGTTTCTCGCGCTTATCAAAAAACTTTCGCGACGATATTTCTGTCTGTCTTCGAGCCTGAAAAAGAGTTCGCAAGTTAGAATTAGCGGGAACTTTACAGCCACGGTCGTAAAGAACCGCGGAGTTAAGCCGCATACGCGCGCGCTGATCTTCCCAGTCCTCTATTCTCCCTTCCCTCCCTCTCTCTCTCTCTCGTTTCGCGTGCTCGGTGTACCCAGTCTCGATTTCCCATGCTCAATGGAACTCGTTCCAATTCGGTCGTTGATCGTAGACCGTTAAGGACAAATTTACTGTATGACGAAGGACAATCGAGCGCGCTAAACTAGCCTTAAGCGCGACGACAACGACCACCTCGAGGTATTCGCGATGATTGACTCGCTCAACTCGCCGTCCTTACTCAATTTTGTCCTGGACGGATATCGGTACGATCAGCGATACAAACAAAGCGCGAGCACCAATTCGAGCGTGGTACTGGCGCATCGAGCTCGGCTGAAATAACTGACGTAGCCTTCTCCGGCGTGCGAACGAGCATTCCCGTATTCCCATCGCTCATTCGTCACTAGGTGCGACCGTCTAATTCTAGATTTCGTTCGCTCGACAACGCGAAGATTGCGCAGATAACAGCGAGCTGCTTTCGTTGCGTTTTTCCGCCGGCGCGGCAAATTAAGAGGGAAAGAGAAAGAGAGAGATCGTGCGGCGATGGCCGCGATGACGACGCCGTGTGATCGTTCAACACGCCGTCGAATGTCAATATCGCGTCCTGTAAGTCGGCGAGAGGACCGTCATTGTAGGACGATTACTGGAACCGGTAGGCCACTCATGAATAGCGGCTGGCCGAGTGTACAAAAGCGCGTCACAGACGGTTGTCCCCTCGTGCATATTGCAAGGGAAGCCTCAAAATTACTTTCGGGCTCCGGGTAGTTAATGCGCGTCGCTGGGGCTTTAAATATTCCAATTGGCGAAGTTCGGTGTCGCGTCGTCGACAATGGCTGCACCGAGAAAACTAAATGAGCCGCGACGTAATTCAGTCTCTCCGAGGAAGTTTTACGAGCGCGCCTCCCCTTTCTCTCCCGAATCGCGACGTCACGTCACGTCGGCGCTCAGAACCGCGCACGGAAAACGGAGAGAAGCTCGCCCTTTTTCGGCAAACGGCGCCCGAAGGAGCGCCCATCGAAGGCCGTACGAGCCGTCGAATGAGTTGGCTAAGGAATGCCGGCGGAAAGCTTCGCGTTTTATTTTGTTTCCCCTTTTCTCTCTGTCTGTCTGTCTCTCTCTCTCTCTCTTTCGCTCACCGAATAAGAATACTATTTTTCACAGCGCACTCACCTCCGTCGGCTGATCGACTGGCAACGTTGATATTCCCGGGCGATGTTTATTAATTCTCCCACGGAACGATTGCCATTCGGAATGCATAACGAAAGCAAATGCACGACAATGAGTCGGCCGTTCCTGAAGAAAAAAAAAGAGACAAACGTATAAAAAGATATAAAAAGTACACGTGACGCGCGCGAAAGGACGTGGTATTTTTTTATCGGCCCAAGTGAGATTCATAAATCGAAAGGTCGCGTTTAATGATGGTCACATGCAGTGCCACTTATTTCAGTGTCCATTGCGAAATCGATGTTAAAGTCATATCACCACGTCGTTGACGTCGTCGTCGTCGTCGTTGGCCGGTCGGTTGAAAATCGACGGAGGACGAGGAAAAGGTGGACGATCGACGGAGAGTGGCCGGAGTCCCGGAGTTTCGAGGAGAGCGATCGATGAATATGGAACGGAAAAAAGCGTTGGCGCGGGAATAAAGGCGCGCGGGAATATTTGAGAGAGGGAGAGAGAGAGAGAGAGAGTAAGAGAGCGATTCGCGCTCTATCGTATACATATATAAATATATATGTATAGCGCGCGCGAGGTTGCTCCAGCGAGACACGCGTTTCTACGAGTCCCAGACATTGACGTAGATTCAATTTGATGCTAATGCTTGCAGATGATATACCACAAAGGTATCAGGCCACTGATGAAAGTTAAACAGTCGGTGCGCGGGAGTGAATGGCAAAGTGGTATTACAATAACTTTCATATTCCGGTCCGGTCAGGTGTGTGCGTGTGATGGCAAACCAGCGGCGATGTAGTACGGCACGTTACGCGATTTTGATCGGCCTTTTCCTCAGCATGCTCCAGCATTTGTTGATAAACATTCGCTCGCGGAACACTACGGATTTTGCTCAGTCGTCGTATACATAATATGTCGCGGCAATCTGCGCAATACATATATATATATATATATATATATTAATCGCTCGTGCGATGAAAAGTAATTACGCGTAATGCGCGTAATTAGCTCTATCGGACACTCGTTTTTCTCACTTCCAGTCTTTCGACTCGCGAGCAGAATCGACCTTGCGAAATCTAGTTCCGCATATGCGCTTACGAAATGTATTTCCGAAAAACCGTACCGTCGAACTTTCGCAAATCCATACGTCTCGCTGTTACTTATGCATTCTTTTCAGAGCGAGCTTCCCTATTGTGAATAAGGACGTTATAAACGGCGGGTCGTATTTAAAGAAGACTCCGGACACAAGCGGGGAGTGTTTTACATTTTCATCAAAGTGTGTGTTATTCCTGTATGATAATGCTGCGAAATGATTATACACGACCGTTTCGATGATGTTAATTCCATCATCTCCCGGGGCGAAACGTCGCGTCTTTCGGGCAAAGTTGGAACGCGCCTTTCGCGCGAGCGAGCAATTCATCGCGACCCTCTGACCTTTCTTCCCTTTGATCCTTGCCCCATTTTTGCTACGACCATCCTTCGCCATCGCCATGCTTCATCGACGTGCGTCATTCGGCGTCGCCGTCCCGACGCCGACCACGTTTCGCCACCCCGGCGTCGCCGTCGCCTTTTATTTGCTTATTTCTGTCCCTTTCCTTCCAATCCTCTGGAAATGGTTCGACGACGGCACGTGGACTGTCGTCCATTTGCATGGATTTCAATCTCAAAGATCCGCGACTCGCCGTTGATCCACGTACCGAACTACGGTATCCTTCGAATAGACGTCTTCGTCGTCACCTTTTTCTGGTCTGGATTAATGGCCTAAACCGTGCAGCGTGTCTGAAGGATACGCCTTGGATTTTCATTTCTTATCACTCTTTTATTTATCCTCCCGCTGGCTCGAGTAACGGTATCCTTGGGATAAATGTCGTTACGTGTCTTTGGCAGCGTAGATCAACCGTCTGGAGCAAACCAACGGATATTCCCCCGGAATGTTCACTCTCTGTTTCATTATTCGCGCGGATTACTAGGATCCAGGATCGCTACGATTTATTAATCTTAACGGTTCGCGAGAGAACTTCGCCGGCGACAAGTGTGTTACCGCTCCTTCTCCAACTTCGGCCCGTGATCCGGGACATATCTTTTTTAAGTCATGTAATTCGTGACGCGAAGTATTTTCTACTTTGGTATTAAAATGTAAAAGCGAGTCGTCCCGACGAGGATGCACCGAATTCAAATTGAATATAAAATTTGGGTTATGTTTTGACACTTTAAGCTGTAACAGCGAATCACTCTGCGATGAAGTAGAGAGCGCTCGAGGGAGACGGAGGAGGAAGGGGAGGGAGAGAGGGAAAGGAAGAGAAAGAGAAAATGGCTTATTAAAAAGTATGCAATTTTTATAAAAGCATACGATATGAGAAAAACTGGGGCTGGAATCTAGCCGTTACGGGTTAAGCGGATATTCAAAGAACATCCGCACCGGATACCTCCGCACGCGCGGATGCTTTGCGAGGTAATTTGTATGGCGATTATGAAGGCTAAGTACATACATCGAAACGCGAGCAAACTGCTTTCGACGAAACATTGAAGCGGCGAAGCTTTTTACTGCCTCGTTCATAGAAGGGAGTTTCTGCGAATGGCGCCGGCAAAGTTGGCAAACTCGTACATACCAGTAACGCTAAGAAACTTTTAATGAAAATCGAGCAAGACTCTTTTCTATCCTGCGATCTTCCGTCCCGGGGAATGGATTCGAGAATGGTTTTCCGAAATTCTATCTATCTCGGATGCCGCGCGACGTCGCGTGTGTACGATCTGTATCGAGTGGCGCGTGAGACTGAAATTGTCTCTTCTTCTTATCTGCTATCCATTCTCGATAGTTTCGGCACGATCAGAATCGAAGAGTGATTTGCCTCTCAAGTTTTAGGCGGGTAGATATTTATTTACTTCAGCTTAAAGCCAAGAAGGGGCTTGCGATTTTTATCCCAAGGGGAACTCGGAGTCATCCTCTTTTACCGCAAATTTGTTAGCACTCGCTACTTGCTGCACAATATTAAAACTCCTTTTGCACATTTACAATACGCACGTATTAGATGTAAAAGGATGCGATGGATAGGATAAAGTAATAAGAGAAGCAACGTTTGTGCGGTGATATTTATGTATTTTAAACATCTTTTTGCACAGTTACACAATATATACGTTAATGTAGGCAAGGACGGTTGATTTTATTCGAAAAACGAAAAAAGTTAACAAACTAGAAAACTTTTATTCGTTTTCCGAATAAAATCAACCGTCCTTGCCTACATTAACGTATGTATTGTGTAACTGTGCAAAAAGATGTTTAAAATACATAAATATCACCGCACAAACGTTGCTTCTCTTATTACTTTATCCTATCCATCCTATCCATCCTTTTACATCTAATCACCAATTCTTACTTAATTCTTAACTCTAAACTATTTATTATTTTGTCTTACATCTCTTAAAAATTTCCATCTTATTTTTCTTTTTTATATCACTAGCTTTATCTATATTATTTTTTTCTTTTCTCTTAACTCTCTCTCTCTCTCTCTCTCTTCCTACTCTTCTTTCTCAGTATATTTCTTTTAACTATATTTAACTCTATTCCGTATCTTATTTTATTTTTCGCTCTTATATCATTACCTAGTTTTTCAAACCATTCTTTTATTCTCTCTCTAATTAAAAATATTATAGATACAAATAAGTAAAAAAAAATAAAAAATACGAACGTCACACATAAAAAGACGATATATAAATACTAAACATACCTGACATTGGTTACGATCGATTGCAATTTGCATCTCAAGATTAATTTAGTCGCCGTTCTTTCCCCTCCAAAAAACTGTTCCCGCGCACGTCTAGCTACGTAAAGTGAAAAACTCATTTCTTAGAACGAAATCAGGTATCATCGAGTATGTCGAATTTCAGGAAAGTGGTAAAGTTTCGTCCAAACATTCTCGATTCAGCGAAAAAGCGCTCGAAACATCTGTTTCTCTCTTTCTCTCTCTCTCTTTTTCTAACCACTGCGTCAACTGTGATCTCGTGTGTGCGTAAGGGTTCGATTATTAAATCTCACGCCAGTTGTACGGATGCCGTAATAACGTCGGCGCCAGCGCGACGAAGGTGTACGAGACGATGCGCGACGCGAGAGACGCACGGTGTACTCACGAGAGCGGTGGCGTGAGCGATACACGCATGCGCGCTGCGCGCTTCGAAACTCGGCGGGCATTCTCTCTGACGTTGGCCGCGCGTCGCGGCGAGTCAGTTGTGCACCGTCGGTCGCGCGTTACACATCGGACGGAGTAGACACCGTGAACGGTCTCTCGCACGTAACAGTCGGCCAAATCCAGTTTAGCGCGCGCGCACCACTCCGACGACACGTTCGCTACTTTCTACAATCGCTCTCGCGGTCTCCACGCGCGCCGAAGGACGCTCTCGTCGGTATTCGTACGTAGCATCGCCAGTTCGGAATTCACACCAGTTCGGTTCGAGCGACAACTTCTTGGTGACTAAGTCTCCGATCTACCTGCGTGCCGAGTCTATCCAGACACAGTCCGAGAGAGAGAGAGAGAGAGAAGATCCAGCCAGAGCGCGTTAGAACATGAAAACACCTATGGAGAATCAGCTGTCTTGGCTTGCGCTGTTCATGACCGCCTTGTATTCCCGTAAGTCAATCTCCTTTTCGCCCAGCCGAGATCGCGGCACGGGAGCGCGCGCGCGACCGGCACTTTATTTTTATATCCTCAGGCCGACAGCGCGTACATACACGTACGTGCAGGCGGCGGAATCTCGCGATAGGTCGAGCGACCAATCACGGCCGAGCGTTTCGATTCGAATCTTACGGAGTTGTCGCGGTTTGTACCGTCGCAGATATAGTTTACCGATCGACTTGAATTCGCTGTTCAAGTCGTTTCACGCGCCATGGGGCCCCTTTCGGCTATTGCGCTTGTTCTCACGGTGATTTTCCGAAGAATATCGCCAGTAACGAGCGGCTCTCCCGGGTCTCTCGTATAATAACTTCGGCGCGCGCGAACTATCCCGAGATGTTGGAATGTTAGAATATGTCATAACGTGTATTTATCTCCCCTCGACGTAACGATATTAAAGCGACTCTCGAAGTCTAATGGTGGTGGGCCTTTCGAGATTCCCCTCCTTCAGCCATTTTGCGTCTTAACAAAGTTGTTATCGAGTTTCTCGCTGGCTCTCGTGTTACCAACCGCTAACAGCAGATTACTTCCCCATCCGGTCAGAAGTTTCTTGACGTAACCATTGTTGTTACCACGTGTATCACTCCGTTGCCGTGACATTCGTTATGCTATGCTCAGGCCCGATGTACGTTAAAGCGACGCTTAAAGGGATGAGAGTACATACATCCCCCGTACAGACAACAGACATGTTTCTGGGCGTGCATTGGGGTGCGCGATTGTTATGTTAATCCGCCGGTCATCGAATAGAAGATGATTCGCGCGCGGTGCAGTCGCGACATTCCCGAATCGCATATGCGTACATGCCGCGCAGTCGAGCGTTATTTTTGCGAAGTGACGTCTTCGCGTTTCCGATATGGTCTCTCTATGTAATGTCGCAATTCTCGACGAATGCTAAACGCAACTCATATTTAATTAACGTCACGATAACACGTCATTTCTACGGATAAACTTAGCGTCGTTAAACATGACGTGTAATGGCGGGTGAATAAATATTTCCACGTTAATCGCGTCATTGAACTCAGGAGAAACCGGAAGGCGCACATTTGTTGTCGTTGTTCTCTTTATCTTCTCTCTTTTTTACGAGTTTCACGTGCATCATTTTCGAAGCGGCAGGTAAAAAGTGCGGAAAACGTCGCGGTCTTACGCGAAACGTAGGTCAAGGACGTTGCGTCAAGTATATAACGGCGAGAAGAGAAGAGGAAGAAGAGGAGGAGAATTGGCGTACAGATTAAAGCGGGACGCGCACGGCGACACGACAACGACGACGTCGCGGTGCGCCCCTTAAACGATAAAAAAGTCAGCAGAAACGAGAGACGAAGCGTGGAATTCGAGCAAAAATCCCACGCCGGGCTTTCGCCCGCGCGGCTTTAACATTCGCCGCCGTCAACGTCAATCGGTTAGCTTCAACGTGCGCGCCAAAATAACCGCTGCCAAGTTTCGGTAAAATTGCGAAAAGTTTAGTAATACGCGTGCTTCAAATCAATGTGCGTGTGCATTATTTCACTTCCGTCAAAACAAATGTATTCCGCGATCGTCGAGCGTCCGAGCCTCAATGAAGGCTCGAATTATGCTTCGAGTTAATTCTCGAATGGCAAGGTTGAATCCGACTAGATCAATATTTTTATGTTTTAATGCTTTCGCGTATGGTAAAGCGTTATATTTCAGGTACTTTACATATTTTGCGATACATTTTATTTACTTTTATATAAATTTTTATTTAAATATAAGAGGATAATAAAATTTTTATTAAATATAGGAGGAACGTATCCTGTAATCTGGGCCTAGTCGGATAGGTCCTTCCAGGCGGAACATTTGTAATTGCCATTAGGCTCAATACTAACGTAATCAGGATTTTCACAGACCCGGAAAACTGGGAAATCGGGAATTTTGAACATCGCTTACAATTCCCTCAAGTGCTTCGACTGTATTCTTTTTTCAATACTAATTTTTTTGTTCGCTTTTCGAATTTGCACTCAGGATTATATTTACTAATAAGATAAACGCAAATTAAAGCACTTGAAGTATTTTTGCTTTGGTACAAATTTGGTACAAATTTTAAGTTTCGCTTAAAGATAAGATAAGGTTGGTGCAACCTAAGAGACATTGAAAATGTCCCACATAGGAAGGACTTATCCGATAAGCTAATCGGACCTCAGGTTACAGGACACATTCCTCCTGTCCTCAGTAGTATACGATCACATGTTCTATTTCGGACCATCCCGAACCCATGATTGTTTTGCCAATGAACTGGAATCACTTGGTCTTGAGTCTTCTGTTTACCGAGTTTCTCTGTTTACCAAAGTTCCAGCCCAATTTGATACGTCCTTCTGGGTGGGGCACTTTCATTGTCCTTTAGTGTATTTTTTAACTTATTGTGAGCGGATGAAAAGTGCTTAGTCAAAAAAATTAGTTGACCAAACTACAAAATGTTTCTGCCGGTCGGATCCGACCCACCTTGTTATGCGAGTGACTGTATGAATCTTGTTATTTAACCCACGCGAGAAGTTGATTTCGCTCGCCACGATCTGCGCCGGAGGAAGGAATTAACTTTTATCTTTCAGTTCTCGCAGGGCGGCAGAAAGTTTCTCGCGAAGGGACGATCGGTTAAAACGCGGTTAAAGTTAACCGATGATAGCGGATGGAACTGGTCGTAGAGAAAGAAAAAAGGTGGGAAAATGTTTCCGCACGAGCGTTCGCCTCATTTTGGGGTCGTGCGAGAGATAATTAGCCGTGCTGTAAAATTGGAACGTTTAATTAGAGCGGAGATTGATACCGTTCGTGCGCGAGCGTTTGGCAAAAATTTTCAAAGTGTCCCCGGCTCTTTCGCCAAGTATCGCCCCAAGTTTTATCTAATTAGGTCGCGAACAAGTTCGCCACTCTCCTTCGCCATATCCTTGACGACGCGCAACGTTCCGAGATTATCGAGGGTTTAGAGATATCCGCGTTAGGGCGAAGAACTCGACGATCGGGGCTCGAATTTTCGCCGCATCTCTCCCTCCCTCCCTCTTTCTCTCGTCATTTATTTCAAAGGCGAATCGTAGCCGAATGTCGTGAATGAATTCCCGGACATTTCCACCGTGATTAATCGATCACGCATAATCGCAGCTCTCGAGAAAAATAACAAAATTCTACGAATGAGATTCGAACACGCATTAGTGATAAAAAAAAAAGAGAATGTTAGGGAAAATATAAATATTTATTTTTACCACGCGAGATTACCATTACGCGCGAACATTGTTTCGACGACAGAAAAAGGTAATATTTTGTCAAAATTACCCAAAATGGAATTTTCGAGCTGAACCGCGGGATAAACAGAGGGGAGATGTGACGCTGGCGGCTCGATAAAAATCTAAAATTTATACGTCTCGCTAAAATTCAACGGCAAAACGGGACGGCACACGCGCCGGAATCCGGAATGACGGATTAATATATATAGTGCATCACATGCACATCGATTAGCGGACTTATATAAACGTATTGCTCAATTAAGCGCCGCCCTCGGGCATTTCCAAAATAGACGGCCGACACGTGCGTCTGGGAGTGGAGGCGCTCCTCCGGCGAAGACGTATCCCGAACACGTATCTCGCGCGATTTTTGCGTTCCAAATTTAACGCGTAACCGGCGCTTAAAGCGTAGACGAGGAGTTGCGAGGAGTTTGGCGCTGCTCGACGCGCAGAATATTTTCGCGGCGTGACGTTTCTGTAAATTGGTGTTTACAACGCTTAATGCGTCTCGGCGATTGGGAGAAGCAACGATGACGAGAATCGCCGGCCTTGAATTCATTCAGAGCATATTCGCTCGGTATCTCGCGCGTGATGCACGCGTCTACGAATAAACAACATGATCCGTGTATTATTCGCGCTTCCGGTTATCTAATCGCAACGGCGATACCCCGCGGACGTAAATATTAATCGCACTTGACCGCGCGGTGATCTCTCGGCCGGACGGCAGACAGCTGTCTCGCCAGCAGCCGGCAAGATAATAGATTTAAGTAACGCGTTAATAACAACAGTTCTGCGTTAATTCGATCGATATCGCGCGGTTGGTTCGTGCATTTCATCGTTGGACAACGCCTCTCGTCGGCCGGACATGTGTGCGCGTCGCTTCGATACCAGCGTTACGGAAACCATTACACGACTAGATAATTGACTTGTTTGCCGAACTGTTCATTTCTATACATGGACGCTTCTTTTCCTCCATTCGTCTCGAAAGTTGTTTTTGGATCACTATGCGAATGCAATTAACAAAAAATCCCGCCCACGGCATCGCTGTGTATGTGTGGGGTGTCCTTTGAATTTTCCGACGTAAATTTTCCAAATTGAATTAACTCGCCGATACTGCGTTATCGCACGTATACGCTCGCGCGAGCACGCTGGCTTTTTCAATAATTAAACACGCGGTCATTTTTTTTAACGTGACCGAAGAACGCGCCGATAGAGCGAATAGAGAGAGGGAGAGAGAGAGAGAGCTCGTTTACACACGACGGATTGCCGAGGGTGTGACAAACGCGATTCTGGATCGGACCTTTTGCGACGAGACGACGAGGATCTCCGGCGAATATCTCGCTACCGAAATAGCACGTCGGCGAGTCAACCACGTGGGCGACTCGCTCCGTTACATCGTACGAGATGACGTAGCGCGCGGCGATTGGCCGAGCGGATGGGCGTGCGTCTCGCCTCACCTTACCGTCACACGCTATTCAACATGCCTCACCTCACCTCATCTTACCGTATCACGCCACCACGCACCATACACCCCGCCCGTCGCGTCTCGTCGAAAGCATCCTCGAGTAGAGCCGTTTTTCCTTGACGACCGAGCGAGAACGGTGAAACGCGCGATGACGGTGAGCAGGAGACAGAGAACGAAAGAGAGAAAGAGAGAGTGAGTGATTGAGCGAACGAGAGAGAGAGAGAGAGAGGGGGGGAAGGAAGGAAGGAGGGAGCGAGCAGCCGGTTTTT